ATAGGTAACATTACAGCAAGTAGTCACGAGAGTAGTTTTGACCCTGACTACAATATATTAACGATTTTAGGAACTGCTTACCCTTGAATTTCTATACTATGTAGTCTAGTTCTAAAAATAGGTAACATTACAGCAAGTAGTCACAAGAGTAGTTTTGACCCTGACTACAATATATTAATAACAATTTTAGAAACTGCTTACCATTGAATTTCTATACTATACTAGTCTAGTTCTAAAAATAGGTAACATTACAGCAAGAAGTCACGAGAGTAGTTTTGACCCTGACTACTATATATTAACGATTTTAGGAACTGCTTACCCTTGAATTTCTATACTATGTAGTCTAGTTCTAAAAATAGGTAACATTACAGCAAGTAGTCACGAGAGTAGTTTTGACCCTGACTACAATATATTAACGATTTTAGGAACTGCTTACCCTTGAATTTCTATACTATGTAGTCTAGTTCTAAAAATAGGTAACATTACAGCAAGTAGTCACAAGAGTAGTTTTGACCCTGACTACAATATATTAACGATTAGGAACTGCTTACCCTTGAATTTCTATACTATGTAGTCTAGTTCTAAAAATAGGTAACATTACAGCAAGTAGTCACGAGAGTAGTTTTGACCCTGACTACAATATATTAACGATTTTAGAAACTGCTTACCCTTGAATTTCTATACTATGTAGTGTAGTTCTAAAAATAGTTAACATTACAGCAAGTAGTCACAAGAGTAGTTTTGACCCTGACTACAATATATTAACAATATATTAACAATTTTAGAAACTGCTTACCCTTGAATTTCTACAATACTAGTTCTATAAATGGGTAAATTAATAGCCAGTAGTCACAAAACTACCTATGACTCTGACTACAATATATTGACAATTTTTAAACAGCTTACCCTTGATTTCTACACTTTATATAGTAGTTTAATTCATTTCAGGGTATTTTATCGATAGTCCTTAGCACTGTCCTTGGAAGTTGTCCTTTGTGTTATCAGTTGCAGTAAATCCGATCTAACACACATAATCTGTGCCATTCTGCGTAAAATCAGTCTCACATTAGCTTACCGTGAACATGAGTGCAAAATCAATACAATACAGCAACAGAAAGACAACTTCTCAATATATTCCGACTTATAGCGGCGTAAAAAATGATGTAAAAAATGATTTCCAGGTTTCAAGTGAAGTTTTACCTCAATAAAAAGGAAATGTTACATCGTCAGAGTACTTAAGGGATAAGAGCGTTTACAAAAATGAAATATTTTATGAGGTATTTGCATGCGAATGTCTCTACTCATTAATGAGAATATTTATAAATACAACCAGAGACTGCATTCCTTTGATCTTCAGCCAATTTTACTTGTTATAATTTTCCCAAGGACGAACAGGTGCTAATGCAACAAGTAAAAAATGGTGACAGTTATAATATCATTAATTATTTAAAAGGAAAATGACCTGGCTAAATATACAGCCACGCTGGTAATAGGGCAAAATACCATAGATACTGCACTGTGACATGATCGCTGTTCACTGGAAATGAGATATACAAAACTCCTTTGAGTATCAAATCCAAATAAACAAAAATCAACTCCTTAAATCGAGTGTGCATGAATGTGAAAGTGTCACAATAATATTTGCAGCCTACGCTTTAAATATCTTTGATTTGCATATAATAAATGCATATATTATTGATATATCAAGACTGAAATTTTTGCCAAGAAATGCCTATAATTTTTGGGGTAGCAGCCATATTGTGTACAATTAGGCACCATGTCTTCCCACATAAAATTGATTAAAAAATTACCCACCCATGACTGGGGAAATGCCCAATTGGCCTGATAGACTGACAAACTGATAGACAGCCTTTAACATATAAGTCTTTCTGTTGCAAAAAATCAGATATGATGAGTATCAAAATGAGTATTGTATCATTTCATAATACAAATTCAATAACTTTAACAAGACAAGTGTCGAAGGTAAAATTAGAACAAGGCATTAACATGACAAAATGTCACCACCTAAAACAATTTGGTCAATTTAAAGCAAGTTGGAAAATACCTTTTGACCTTGAGAAGGTCATTGAAGGTCAAATCTAAAGTCAGATTTGAACTTCTGAGAACTTGTAAAGTCAAATTTGAACTTTTGAAAAGATGTAGATGATTTTGAAAAAAAAATTTGGTCAATTTGAAGCAAGTTGAAAACAGACCTTTTTTGACCTTGAGAAGGTCATTAAAGGTCAAATGTCAAATCTAAAGTCAGATTTGAATTTCTGAGAACATGTAGATGATTTTGAAAAAAAAAATTAGTCAATTTGAAGCAAGTTGAAAAAGACCTTTTTGACCTTTTTTGACCTTGAGAAGGTCATTGAAGGTCAAATGTCAAATCTAAAGTCATATTTGAATTTCTGAGAACATGTAGATGATTTTGAAAAAAAAATTTAGTCAATTTGAAGCAAGTTGAAAAAAGACCTTTTTGACCTTTTTTGACTTTGAGAAGGTCATTGAAGGTCAAATGTCAAATCTTAAGTCAAATCTAAAGTCAGATTTGAATTTCTGAGAACACGTAGATGATTTTGAAAATTTTTTTTAGTCAATTTGAAGCAAGTTGAAAACAGACCTTTTTGACCTTTTTTGACCTTGAGAAGGTCAAATGTCAAATCTTAAGTCAGATTTGAATTTCTGAGAACACGTAGATGATTTTGAAAAAAAATTTAGTCAATTTGAAGCAAGTTGAAAACAGACCTTTTTGACCTTTTTTGACTTTGAGAAGGTCATTGAAGGTCAAATGTCAAATCTAAAGTCAGATTTGAAGGTCAAATATCAAATCTAAAGTCAAATCTAAAGTCAGATTTGAATTTCTGAGAACATGTAGATGATTTTGAAAAAAAATTTAGTCAATGTGAAGCAAGTTGAAAAAAGACCTTTTTGACCTTGAGAAGGTCATTGAAGGTCAAATGTCAAATCTAAAGTCAGATTTGAACTTCTGAGAACATGTAGATGATTTAGAAAAAAATTGAAGTCAGTCTAAACAGTATTTGTTAAGTTATAGGAAGTTGTAAGAAATTGTTACAGACGCCGGACGCCGGACGCCAACCTCCAACCGCCAACCACCGTCGCAAAAAAACGGAGACCATAACAATATGTCACCACTTTTGGTGGTGACATAAAAACACAAGACACACCTTTGCAAGATGAACATCTTTGTGAAATGAATCTACAGAAGGTTAATACCTTTGTAAGAGGAACACATTTGTAAGATGAACATATTTGTAAGATGAACAATTTTGGAAGATGATAACCAAACACAAGACACACCTTTGCAAGATGAACATCTTTGTGAAATGAATCTACAGAAGGTTAATACCTTTGTAAGAGGAACACATTTGTAAGATGAACATATTTGTAAGATGAACAATTTTGGAAGATGATAACCTTTGTGAAATGAAGACCCTTGTGAAAATAAAGAATCTTGTAAACATAAGACTTTTGTGAAAACTAAAGACACTTCATCAACTTCATCAAAAAACATTGTAGCATTATACAAGAAATGTACAATCCAGTAAGTTCATTGAACATCGCTCACTGGGGAAAATCTTAATCTGGCAAAGTGCTTGCTTATAATAGCAGTGTCCATTAGAGGTGTCACGGATACCCGATTTTGTTCCGACCCGCAGAATTACGCTCTCGAAACGGAACACAGAACAAAAATTAAGAATTTTGGTTCAGTTCCGGAACAAGAAAATCTTACACTTTCACAAGTTGTGGCCCTTAAATCTCCAGAAAAAAGCATTTTTTCAATATTTTCCAAAAGAAGTTCATTCTTTTCACTCCTTCTCATTGAAGAATTTGAAGGGCTTTTCGCTACCAAATAGACCTATTTAATTAACTTATTTTAACCTAATTGTTCCGTTCCGAAGCAAAATGTTCCAAACCAATTTTCCCTGAGATCTCTAGTGTCCATAGCAAAGAATTTGAAATATTAACACTAAAGTGAATATTTAAAACACTTGTATAAACTAACTTTTGTCATGAGAGACCACATACGGAAAATGCTACATTACCTTGGAACTGAAAAGCTAGCACTTAAGGTTCAGCTGGAAAGTAACATTTTGGTAAAAAATTGCTATACCTGCACATGTTATTTTCTGGTACATAATTAAGTATGAAGGCATGTGTGTATTTCCTTGCTTTTTTCAGGAAAGTATCATTGCACTGTCTACTTTTAGTAAACCTGGAAACAGGTCAGTGGTAGCTCCTGTGTTGTCTGGAAACTTTGAAAGAAAATTTGGAAAAACAGGAAGTGTGAAATATCAGAATTCCCTGGAGTTCCCTTTGAACGCCTACCAGATATTCTAAAAGAAGACGATGTAATGATACTTTCCTGAAAAAAGCAAGGAAATTGATACATGCCTTCATACTTTATTTTGTACCAGAAAATAACATGTGCAGGTATAGCAATTTTTTACCAAAATGTTACTTTCCAGCTGTACCTTAATGCCATCTTTTAAGACCGATGGTCAACAAAACTCAAAGATTATATAAAGGATAATGCACTCCCTCTAAAATAAGTCACTTTGCATATGTGACAAATAATATACTGTACATGTACATGTAGTTTTAATAGTACCATCCCTTGGATAAATTACATGGGAATACAATATCACCCTATAAGAATAATAATGTCCTAACTCAAATCATGGGCTTTCAATAATCTAGTTGAAAGCCCATGCTCAAATTTATGTTGTTATGGTGAGGGGGCAAAATGACTAAATAGTAAATGCAATGGCTTACAGAAGCCTGGAATATCTTCGTCGTAAAACAAGAAGGTAATGAATGCTCATCGAAGTATCACTCTTTTTGGAACAAGAATTGTTAGGTAAACTTTTTTCACATTTTTATGTTGATTCAAAAGTACCCTACTAAATAATGACACATTGGAAATATTCTGATGTTCAAAAATGTGAATCATTCAGACCAGGTAAACAGATACTCACTTGTCTAAAAATTGGCCCAACTGGTTGTCTGTGAGCCAGTGCTTAAATTGTAGGTAATCTCTGGCTTTGTTTATGCCTTCTTCTATACGCTCCTCTGCCTCTTTATTTAGAGCTTGTATTCGGAATTCGTAGTCAGTTGAAGCTTTATTAGCTAATTCTTCAACACTGTGTACACCTGAAAAAATTCATTTTCATGAATATATGTTTGCATCATACTTAAAGGGAATACCAGATATAGAGACGAGCTGAAAGAAAATTTAGAACAAGGCACTAACATACAAAATGTCACCACCTGCCATTTGTTACAGATGCCGAATGCTAAACACCAACCACCAAACACCAACTGTTGAATGCTGAACAGTCATTCATTCTTCTAGTTTGCAATTTCTTAATTATTGTTTTCCTATATGCTATTAATGTAAGTTGGTTAATAAAGATGGCGTGGCAGCCTTATGCCTTGACGAAGTTATCATCTACAATAAATCAATATAAGATGTGTAATTATGTCCCATGAGTCCCTCATCTCCTGTTAGTACTGAATTGATAAAATACTCTATATAGAATAAATTTGACAATGGCATGCCTATCCCTAATGTAAGATAATTAATAAGAATATATTCACATCCTAAAAAAATCATAATTGTTAAAAAGAATAAAGGATGAACGGATTCTGGAAGGACAATCAAGGTTCGGATTTAGACAGTGCATATTATCATGGTGAATATTTACTGACTATATCAACAGACTTGTCCTTTGACTTATCCTGGTGTCATATTGAAAGGCATATAAAATTGTTAACTTAAACTTTTCAACTTTTCAAAGGTTGTAAAACTCTACTCGTAAAACCAATATAATACACAATGTTATGAATGTAGACAGAGATATTAACTCATATTCTATTGAGAAATAAACAAACGTATGTCAAAGGAGCAACAAATAGTATAGAGGAAATTCTGGACTTATATTATTATCAGAGCGTCTCTTGTTTTAACATCTTCTTCTTCATAATTGTTTTCTTAAAAAGTATGAATATGTCCATTATATCACTACTTCGACTTGAAAATCAAAGGACCACATGCAGTATGGCAAGTGATTTTAGACGCTCATATCTTTCACCATGAGTACTTTCTGGCATAAATACACGGTTTTTATTAAAACAATGTGTTTCCTTTCAAGTGAAGTACCCATGATGATAAAAATATAAATCAAACAATTCATGAATAGGGACCCCATGTCAACATTTTTTTCAAAATATTGAACCTATTTACTCAAAAGAGGATCTTCTTTTTCTGATTTTTATTGCATGAAAACATTATTCAACAAGAGGTCTAAGACATGTTCAAAAATAGAATGATATTTTCATTTTTGATAGCAATATTTGCGTGTAATATTTAACTTATTTCAACCGTCAAATTCCTCCATTCAGTTCCCGGCATGCACCAGTCATAAGGGAAATCCCTGGGGAATTCCCCTTCCGACATTTTGAAAATTGCTGACATATTTCCGATGTAAAAACTAAAGTCTCTTTGTTCTGCCGATAAACCCATACAATTGGCGATCTAACAACATAAAAAGAATTCTAAAATACTCTGGAATGTATCGAGGTAGGTCATTTAAGAGTGCAATGCGTAGTTCATTCTCCGACATTGTAGAAAGACAGGCTTACCAATGAATCAGGCGTACGGCCACAATCTAAAGGGGTCGTAGGATGCGATAAATTACACAATAGGTCAATGATTGTTGGATACGACTCAGCCTTATATGTTGCTTCGAATATAATTCTTTTCATAAGTAAAGAATGAGTAAAAACACAAATGAGAACTGAATGAATAGCTGAATACAATAAAACAGCAATATATCTGATGCAAGTTCTCTTTCTGAATACAGGAGAGCTTGAAAGGTACAAAAGCAAAGAGAAAAACAAATGCAAAGAATAACAAGGAAAATGTGAAAAAATACCAACAAAACTGATGTTACATAACACTTACCTGTATTGAGAACAGTTGTAGCAATGTTGGTTAGTCCGTTTTCTCTTAACCACTCCAGAAGATTGGACCTTTGTTCTTGATGGGTGACATGACGTTTGTAAACAAACCAAGAAATTCCGCAGATGAAAAAGATCAGCAAGAATCTTCTTAATTTAATTCCAGTAGGGCTAAACTCAGTCATTTCTGTAGCACATTGGCTGTCCTTGTTGTGCACCCCACCCTCAACATTGTCTTATATCTGTCATAACACCTCGAAATGTCCATAAATCGTAAAACTGTTCTGTCGTTCATAAATTAATAATTTTTCCAATTTGTGGATGTGAATGAGGATTTGAAAATGTGAAACGAAAACATGATACGTATAAAAATAAAATAAGATCAAGACTTATACCATGATTCCTTCAGATAAAAGCATATAAAAGTATACGATAATTTAGCAAAGTCTAATGGTAATTTTCTGGCTTCATTAATTAGTTTGAATATAGTCAAGTACCAACTGAATTAAAAGCACCGAAAACTTTTATTGGGTGTCTCACTAGTAACAGAAAGCACTTCCGGCTAAAATATTTTTTGAGTTTTGAACTTGGACTCTCATAAAACGATTGATTCCAGGAACTTCCAGGGAACATAAGAAACAAAAGGAAGTCATAAATAGCAGAAGGATATGCACTGTATCATATTTGCAACTATACGATTGTGCATCCCAATTATTTTTTGATTTGTGGATGTTGGAAGTTGAGTAGTGGAGCCACGTTGAAAATAAACATTCATTCAACATTGGAATAGACTACTCAGTAGCTATATCAAAACTACTATAAGAGACAATGAGGTTCACAATTAAATTTCTGGCGAAATGTTTGGTAGCCATAGTGCTGCTTATCTTTATCGGACCATATCTTATGGGACAACTGGATTCAGACGAGAAAAAACGGTCAAACCAGTTGACGTATAAAAAGGTAAGATACATGTAGGGCAAAGGGGTGTAACGGCGACTTGTGGAGTAATGTTGAGACGGGGTAACTACGACCCTTATTTATTAGAAGTGGAATTTCGATTTTCTGCCATGTTTGCTTTCTGGAACAATTAAATCTCTCGAGATCTCGATCCATACGAGAAAGTAGTGCTTGCAACGGTAATGGATCTCACTGCCGGTAAATTTCATCTCCATTACCTTACCGTTACCGATTATCGTTGATACTGATAATGTTCCTAAAATCCCGGGGAAAAACCTGAAAGTGAAACTAAAATATTTGGAAAAATCCTTAACGAAGCCGATTTCTCAGCTTGATTTCCCGCTCACATCAACTACAGTGGATATATTGTATCATCGTGTATCTCGTGTGTGATTGTGTATTGTTAAGAAGTCTTTGAATGATAATATAGAGTGAATTCGATCAGAATTGATCAAACTATTTGTGTTTGTTTTTACTTCACCGAAATATCACGTCACGTGATTTGTTAACCTCGCGGCATGGGAGATGATTGACAGAAGTGGGTGGGGTTTTGCTTATCATCCCGCTACGAATGCTTTGCATTTGATTGACAGATTAGCTCTTCAAATGTGGAGATTGAAATATACATGATTGATAAAATATTCTTAAACGAACATTGTTTCGTAAATTTGACAATGGATCGCAATGCCAATCATCATGTTGCAGCAGCATGGCGATTATCGGCAATGAATTTTATTACCGGCAATTGAGAGTATCTACTGCCGCTGCCGACAACCCGGCATTACCGTAAGGCACTACGAGAAAGAAAACATGGCTTCCCCCTAGATTGGAAATTAAGATGTCGAAGTTACCCCTAAATGTTGTCGACATTACACCCCTTCGCCCCTATTGGTTCTTTGTAGATAGAGGACTGGGAGGCAACGTCGTCCATGTAGGTAGTTGTTGGACAAATACTGTAGCTGCACTGAGTGTCCAACAATTACTTACATGGACGGCATTGCCTCCCGATCTTCTACATGCAAGTCCTTAGATATGTTGTTTCGAACCGAGATTACTGAAGTTACCACTGTTTCTGATCTTTTTTGGTTGAATATACATGTACTGAAACCTGTCTAATCCAAACATGCTTCGGGTTTTTATATCGCTTTTTGTTTAGCTTTTGTAATTTGTATCATGACTACTCAGGAAACTCCATGGTTGGTTATATAATAAGTCAAAGTGATATCATATTTGAAATCTACTTGCAAAATCACAGAAAGTGAAATATCATTTTTATTAGAAAGATAATATTTTGTTTTACCATGGGCTTTCAACGAACTGAAAGCCCATGGTTGAGCCCAATTGATCCACTAGTAGAACCGAAAAATATTTAACCGTAATGAGGGCAACTTACTTATCATAACATTAATGGTCACAGGGTTTCACTTGAATTTCTCACAATAGGCTACATAAATGAAATCAACTGGCAAAATTAATAGAAATCATAAATTTAACATGAAAAAATTGAAAAACAGGCGATTTTGTAAAAATAACAGGTGAAAATTTCTGCTAATGAAAGCCCTACAGTCATCAATCCCCCTACCCGCATTAGGGTTAAGGGAACTTTCTAATATATCTACCATGTTATCTGACCTGAATTAGCCACCTAAGGGTTAACTGATAAAAATAATAATTGATTTGTACATTACTTGGATGTGTTTAAATTATCTTATAAAATATTTACTTTGTCAATGTTATCATTGTAGATACAGGGTGTCCGGAAAGTAAAGATACAAATACTCTTATTTTAAGAGATTTAAGAGTTTTGCAATGAAATTGCTACAGTTTGTAGAGGAACATTATCACAATGTATCTACCAACTCTCATCGCATTTAGTCTAAAGCGTTAAAAGTTACAGTTGTCATAGTTACGGAGGTGAGAGGTATGTGGAGCAGTTCCAGATCATCGCTAAAATCTGATTAATTGCTAAAATATAACCATTTGAAAGAGTGTTCATCATTGTGTTTTCTATCAATGTTTTGTTTTCTTCAATATTGTATGATGTTGCTATTATGTTCTCTTATGTGTAATGGTGTCAATGATACATGTTAGAACTATGTTATGTCATAGTGTAATCAAAGAAATATTATACAAGTGCTTAAAACAAAAGTTCCCTGGGTTAATAAGGAAAGTCAATAATCCACCTCCACAATGCACCAGTTCACAAAGGAAAGCCAACAACAAATCTCAAAATGGGTCTTGACACTAAACTTTTTTGTACAATGCCCCATATTTACCTGAAAAGGCCTCTTTAGACTTTTACCTTAACGAGCATCTCAAAGCGATATTTGTTAGAAGTTCAGTATTCAAATGAGACACAACTGGAAGCGAATGCAATCAGAAATCTGGAGACGAACAGCAGCGGTTTTGTCCGGTCTTTGAATCTCTGGTTAAGATGCACCATGAACATATAGAAAATGCGGGGAAAACATAATACCGGATAATAGTAGTCATGTTAAATGATAAAATAATATTAGAGTACTAATCGTCATGCTGTTGTGGGACATAATTTGATGTTTTATAGGAACAAATGGGTTGAGTGCCATGATGATATGAATAGGAAAAAGATTTATAAAATACAATAAAATTCATTGTGACGCTGCTCCACATACCCCCAACTCCTGTTACCATAACGACCATAACTTTTTCATTTTGAAACTATATGTCATGACAGTTACAGGATATATTGTTGAAATGTCATTCTACAATCTGTAGCAATTTCATCTCACAGCAGGTAAATCTATTGAAGTTAGAGCATTTGTATCTTTACTTTCCGGACACCCTGTATTATCACACTTATATCTACAATTTGGGAAGTTATGAAAGCTTACTGATTATTAGTACTCATCAGAAACAAGACATAAAAGAGGCTCCCCCAGATCAATAAATACTAATATTATTTCAATGCCGTGATACTCGTTCTCTCATTGATCAATTAGATACCATGTGTCAGTGATACCATTGTCTCCCTGCTTAGAAAACTTTAATATCAAGTACTACTTTAATGAGGAAATAATAAAACAAATATTGAATTCTGTGATCGTTAATATCCGTATATATTTCTGAGGGATGTATTCACCCATTCGGGCTGCGGTGTATACACCTTCAAAAATATATACTGATATTCAACTCCACAGAATTAAATATTTGTATAATATTGTTATATTGATTAAATGAAGAGGCATGAACCATCTTTTCTGAAAAATATCTAAACTACAAGCATATTTTTAAACAAGTGTATTCCTTACAGTCATATGGAATGCCTTGATGAATATTATAGATGAATGAAAGTGGTTATGACCACTTGTGAAGAGAAACAAAATTTGTATTCTTACTTAAGTTTATCACATACAGTGATGAGAGTTATCCATGAACCCTTCTTGGTGAATTTTCACCATTCAAGTGATTTTTGGCCAAAATTGTCAAATGGGAAATGTGAACATCCATAGAATTTTTTGAAAACTGAATATGTACTGGCATAAGCTGGCTACAGGCCTGGGTAAAAACCAGACTTCATCATACTGTGAGTTTGCTCACTGGGTATCATAATCAAGGCACGAGGCTATATGCAATGATGAGGAATGATACAGCTTTACGTAGATCCTAAAATTCTCGCGGCATATTGAGGTCTTGTTAGTTTCTGTGGTTATTCCTTCTAGTTTCAGTTGTTCATTTTTCAAATTTTTTTATTATTAAAATGAACATTAAAAATGTGGGTATAATTTGCATATTCTGGAATAATTTATGATTTGTACGTTCTACTCAAGATAAATTAGTAACAGCTGTTGCACTATCAATGGCAAACACATAACAGTTAATATCTTTTATTAAGTCTGTGGATCTAGATCGACCTAGAAGATCAATTTTATTGATAGAAGGAGTGTTAGTTGAACATGTCTTACATTGATGTATGCTTCAACCTGAATATTCTATCATTACATTCGAGTTTAAGACAAAACAACAGAATGTGTTCGTATAAGAGAATCTGGTAAAACTGACTGGGTTTGCAATTTGAGGCTGCATTTGAAATCATATTTCCAATACATGTAGTTAATTGCAGAGTTATACCTGGGGCAAAATAATGTAGCAGATCAATTTTGTTTTTCATGACCAATGTGTTATGATCATGTAATTTCTGTTGATTATACATATTTCATAATGATTTTTGATAAGTATGCTCAGGAAGAAAATTCAGAAACAATGCTAAATGTCACCTTGGAGTCTCATGCTGTTGCTGATGGTGACAGTAGGTTACTAATAGCAACAAACACAAGTTACCAAAGAAGTCATAATGCTGGAACAATCCTGATGTCATGGCTATAGAATTTGTAAAATCATCCTATGCTGTGTTAAAGCAAAAAATGCCCAATAAACTTAATTAACTGGAAAGTGTTTACTCTGGAAATAAATGGGATAAAATAGAGCATAGCAATTTCTCTCCTATTGTTCTATTGTTACAATTTAATGTGAAATGAACATACCCTTATTGTATCAATGTACATGCAAAATAATAAATTGTAGTGATCAACGTAGATCATTATCACTGTTGTGTGATATTGATTTTATATAGACTATATCGTGGTTAAATGTCTGATCCAACTTAGAGATGAAATAATTGATGTGGTATATACATGTACATGTAGCATCATACATCAATCAGGACTGTTCGTTATTCTATTATATATGCACCTGTGTTAGATTTATTACTCCTTTTGCTTATAAAATAATCAATTCCAGAATAGATTATTTTGATCATACTTTTTCAAAGTGCTTTTTGTCCTCTTTTGTTGATGGGCATAAGTGCATGATAGCATCTGTCTGGTGGTCGCAGAGTATGCCAGGGCTATCTAATTCTTGCATTAAGCCCCGGGGGCTCACTCCAAATTATCTGGGTGGGTATGTGCAGCATTGGCAATTAAGAGGTTTATTGGAGTTAAGCCCCCAGGCACCAAGTTCCTTTTAGAGGCATTCTGTAACATCTTCGTGTTGAATGTTTTGTATTAGTAACCAATGAGAGGGTCTCTATTGCTTTTAGCCTAAGCCCTCAACAAGTTATGTAATCTGTCATTATAAGACTTCGTTATGGACATGAAAATAATAATTTATCTAATCTTTTTCAAATTAAATACTGCAGTACTCTGTAACCATGGTAACTAAATATAAAAAATGTACAAATGTTCTATATTGGTATCAATATTCAGTATCAGATTATGTTTCTTTGACATGGATTTTTAAGCTTTCCATTGAACAGAGAATTATTTGGCATTATTTGGCACACTACTACACACTACCAAGTGCCAACAAGTGTGAATTTGCAATGTTGTTGTGTAATGTTATCCTTGATATTTGCAGCGAAGTGATATACATAAGAGGTATCAAGAAGAAAAAAATGAGAGGAACAAACTTCAGAATGATCAGAAGTTGGTGAATGCCCTAAAACCACCAGAGGCCCATGTTAACTTAAATCCTGTACTGGACTCTGATGCAGAGGTAAGAATGTCTTACTGTTTTAGAGTATTTTATATGAGAAAAACTTAATCCTTAATTCATTTGGGATTTGAAGTTAGAAAGCTCATGATTGAGGAAAACTACCACAGAGGATTCCTTTTGAGAGTACAGGTACATGTATTTGATTTGAAAAACAATCTTTATCTCAGTTTTGTTAAATATATAATACTAATTATTACTTTATTTATATCTATTATGCGTTTATTATTTTTAATTGCAGGTTGAGCACATGCAGCAAGCACCTCCAGATCCCAATCAACAAAATGTTTTAAAAGAAGTAAAACAATATGGTCCTAAAGCAGTATTTAAAGATGGCATTCTGGGCAATTATGAACCCAAAAACATTCCTCAAATCACTGGACCAGGTCAGTAAAAATATTTGAATTGCGTATCATATTATCATAACATATTGTATTTTATTGTATGGTTTTTATGTCACCACCAAAAGTGGTGACATATTGTTATGGTCTCCGTTTTTTTTCCGACGGCGGTTGGTGGTTGGTGGTTGGAGGTTGGAGGTTGGTGTCCGGCGTCCGGCGTCTGTAACAATTTCTTACAACTTCCTATAACTTAACAAATACTGTTTAGACTGACTTCAATTTTTTTCTAAATCATCTACATGTTCTCAGAAGTTCAAGTCTGACTTTAGATTTGACATTTGACCTTCAATGACCTTCTCAAGGTCAAAAAGGTCTTTTTTCAACTTGCTTCACATTGACTAAATTTTTTTTCAAAATCATCTACATGTTCTCAGAAATTCAAATCTGACTTTAGATTTGACATTTGACCTTCAAATCTGACTTAAGATTTGACATATGACCTTCAATGACCTTCTCAAGGTCAAAAAAGGTCAAAAAGGTCTGTTTTCAACTTGCTTCAAATTGACTAAAAAATTTTTCAAAATCATCTACGTGTTCTCAGAAATTCAAATCTGACTTTAGATTTGACTTAAGATTTGACATTTGACCTTCAATGACCTTCTCAAAGTCAAAAAAGGTCAAAAAGGTCTTTTTTCAACTTGCTTCAAATTGACTAAATTTTTTTTCAAAATCATCTACATGTTCTCAGAAATTCAAATCTGACTTTAGATTTGACATTTGACCTTCAATGACCTTCTCAATGTCAAAAAAGGTCAAAAAGGTATTTTTTCATCTTGCTTCAAATTGACTAAATTCTTTTTTTCAAAATCATCTACATGTTCTCAGAAATTCAAATATGACTTTAGATTTGACTTTAGATTTGACATTTGACCTTCAATGACCTTCTCAAGGTCAAAAAAGGTCAAAAAGGTCTTTTTTTCAACTTGCTTCAAATTGACTAATTTTTTTTTCAAAATCATCTACATGTTCTCAGAAATTCAAATCTGACTTTAGATTTGACATTTGACCTTTAATGACCTTCTCAAGGTCAAAAAAGTTCAAAAAGGTCTGTTTTCAACTTGCTTCAAATTGACCAAATTTTTTTTTCAAAATCATCTACATCTTTTCAGAAGTTCAAATTTGACTTTACAAGTTCTCAGAAGTTCAAATCTGACTTTAGATTGACCTTTGACCTTCAATGACCTTCTCAAGGTCAAAAAGGTCTTTTTTCAACTTGCTTCAAATTGACTAAAAAAATTTTTCAAAATCATCTACGTGTTCTCAGAAGTTCAAATCTGACTTTAGATTTGACTTAAGATTTGACATTTGACCTTCAATGACCTAACTAGGTGGTGACATTTTGTCATGTTAATGCCTTGTTGTATTTAGTCGTATCCATGGTTAGCCTTACTGCATTTAAAAACTCCGTACTGTTATCAATCATAGTGTTTGTAAATTAAAAGTACCAAGCAGTAAAATAATGATTTTTTTGATGATGATATCTAATTAAGACCATTTGTTGACCCCAAAGCTTAACCAAAAGTGGTGACATATTGTTATGGTCTCCAACTTTTTGTGATGGCAGTTGGCATTCAGTGTATGGAGTTTGGCATCTGCAACAAATGGTTGGTTGTGACATTTTGCATGTTAATGCACTACTTCTCTTGTTTCAGGAGAGGGAGGGGAGCCAGTGTACATATCTATGGCAGAGAAGGCTCAAGGAGATAGAAGTACACAGGAGTTTGGCTTCAACATGGTGGCCAGTGATAAGATATCTATGACACGTAGGGTGCCAGACACAAGGATGGATGAGTAAGTGATTCTTAAGGTGGGCCTCGTAGGGCAGAATTTGAATTTAAGAAGCCTTTTAGGTGAGCCTATTGGGGTAAATTTTGGATAAGTTTTTAACCAATATAAGTAACCACTGTTGAACAAGCACAGTGGGGTACATCCCTATTTGTATAATCTATGATCAAATGGGTTTCAATTTGTTAGCTATGAAGCCCAATGTTGAAAAATGAGTTATACAGGGGTTTCACTAGAATTTCTCACAACAGGCTAAATAAATGAAAACAACAGGCAAAATTAATGGAAATCATACATTTAACATGGAAAAGTTGAAAAGTCCCTAAAAACAACAGGTGATTTTGTGAAAACAACTGGTGAAAATTGCCTGCTGCTATTGAAACCCCTGGTATATCAAGTTAAGAATCACTTACAATGAATTTAGGAATTTTAGTAGTTAAAATGTTCAGCATGTTTATATAGAAATCATTTAGCTGGATTTTAAGCAAATTCCCTCACAAAAAAATTCATTCAAAATCATGTAGTTTTCTATCATCATTCTGAGCACTTATCAAGTGATTTTGGGCCAAAAGTGTTTCATGTGAACCCCCTGGAATTTTTTGAAAAGTGAACCCCCTCTTGGCAAAAGCTGGCTACAGGTCCGGATGCCTTTGTAAACTAAATTCTCTACTTCCTTTTAAATCAACAACTACCATATAATTGAATTAGCAATATTTTATTAACATTTAAGTAAACTTCCCTTTTGACTTTCCTTTTGCTATATTTCTACTGGCTTGTAATCTGAGGGCTGCTCACCCTTGCTCAAAACTACATCATGTTTCTCACTATAGGTGCAAATACTGGGACTATCCTTCAGCCTCCCAGTTACCCAAGGCCAGTGTTATCCTAGTCTTCCATAATGAGGGCTGGTCTACATTGGTAAGGACTGTACATAGCATCATCAACATGTCTCCTAAAGAACTACTACATGAAATTGTTATGGTGGATGACTTTAGCGATAAACGTAAGGAGTTAATTGTTTAAGGGATTAAATACATATGTTCTGGGGTGCTTCTTTCTGTAAAGACTTGATCAGAACATTTTCTTGACCTCTGAAAAGGTGACTTTTTAAAAATATAATGTTGTTCTGCTTAGTTCGCAATCGACACTATGTTGTCAAACATTTTCTTGACGCCGATAGGGTGACTTTTTTTAAAATTAAAATTCAAAGTTTTTTTGCTTAGTAAGTAATCGACACAATGTTGTCATACTTTAGTGTTGTTATATGCAGATATATCGATTTCGTTTTCAACATGGTCATTTTCAGTGATGTCACTCTCTTTGATGTGATGAGAAGTTGAAAATAACCTTTAACAATTTACTATGTTATTTTTTCAGCTCATCTTAAAGATAAGCTAGCTGAATATCTCAAACAGTTTGATGGGCTTGTTAAACTATTCCGTAATACCAAGCGTGAGGGGCTGATAATGACGAGAACATTAGGAGCAAAATACTCAACTGGGGAAGTGATCATATTCCTCGATGCCCATTGTGAATGCAATTATAACTGGTTGCCCCCTCTATTGGCTAGAATAGCATATGACAGGTACATGTTCATTTCATAAAAACAATATTTTCAAATTTCTTTTTTGAGATCTTAAAGATATATTTGAATATTTGTTTGTTTCAAAGATGTAGACCCTCTACATCAAATTTGAATTTGAACATGTTGAATAAAGTCGAATAGTTTCTAGAGGAGTTCATCATTGAATCAATGTTGTTTACAAACCTGTAAAATATTCTTTCAACTTTTATCATGTATTTGGCTTGTCATGGAGACTTTTTATGATTGCTTTAAAATGAGCTATTAATGAGTCCTTCTATGAATTTTGTGACCTGTAAACCTGTGTTAATATGTGTACAATATGTATACAATATGTATATTGCTTTCAGCTTATTGATGTAGTAATGAGGTTAACTTATGATGAAATCCTAACTTTTAATTGTAGTATTTCTAGTTAATTGTATGTTATGGAAATACATGTATACATTGAATGCAAGATCACCCCAAGGGCATTTTTGGGACCATGCTCGACAATACTTGTATTTGTGACACCATGCATGTTAATTAACATTAGTGCAGCAATTATGTGACACCCTATATACTAATATTTTCAAGGACTATCATGGCAGTTCCAATAGTGGATAGTATAGCGTGGGATAATTTCCGCTATCGTCCCACATATCAAGCTGGAACCAATTATAGGGGAATATTTGAGTGGGGTTTTCTATATAAGGAAAGCCGGGTTCCAGAAAGGGAGCTGAATAAGAGAGCTCACACAAGTGAGCCGTATTGGTGAGCTGGACCCAGAAGTAGTGTGTAGTGCTGTATAGTGCATATAGTGCTATATATATAGTGTATACCTGTAAAGTGAGGTCAGCATCTCATGTCTGGTAGAAATATCTTCATGTTTCAATATTTCATTTTTAATGGTTTTTGAAAGTTTGTTTATTTAATGTTATTATATTTTGAAACAATATATCATGTAAAATTCATTTCTAAAAAGGTTTAAAAGTGTTAAAGAAAATTGAAATGTAATCTATGAATTTATGAAAAATTACCAGATGTGAAATGTTGATCTCTCTTGTGTTGATTGCTTGATTGCTTCTCGTGTTTGCATGGTGATGTATTGGTGATGTCATAATAGATTCCAGTTAAAGCATTTATAGCACCATTACATAATCTGTGACTTATTCTTACAAACTAACTTGGGAAAGAATGGTTTTGGTTGGGTTAAATTAGAACATAAATAAGCGAGGTATGGTGTCTAAATAATTACAGTTTTGGATATTGACAAGTCATAATTTATCATGGCTTTGAATTTGTGCTTTATATTGACATGACATCATTGATGCGTCAGTGCATTGTTTGCCTCTTAGATTTGATTGCTTGACACCATTTCACGACATCACAGGTTTTAAAGAGATGCTCATGCAATAGGGTAATCAAGTATTACTTCAAACAAAAGTTAAATTAGGCCTGACTGATTATTTGTCTTGGTATTATTATGTTCCAGTACAGATTGCTACAATTTTTCAAGAAATTATAGATTTTGACATGCACTTTCTTAGAGAACTAGATCATAAAAAACAAAACTATCAAAATTCTAAATCAGTAAAAAGATGCAAATTAGGTTGTAGCTTAATACGGAGTTGTTTAAAATATGATTTATGGAAATACTAAAAAAATTCAAACATGAGCATCTCTTTAAGTGACTAAAACAATTAGTGGACCATACATATTTTACCCTCGTAGAACTGTTTTATCAGATCCAACAGAACATAGATTTTTCTCCAGTGGCAACCTCTTATGTAACCAAGATACTTATATATATGTATATTTGTCTTATCTTACTAAATGAATTTCTTTACTCACAGACGATAAGGCGATCATGTATTTTTGAAGCCATCTTGGTTACATTTAGGTTATGCCTGGAAAGATTCATTTTGTTTGCTTTCTGAATTTCCAAACTTTAAAAGTGCAGGATCCTCTCATACCCTAATTGGCATGTTTAAAATGTGAAACAAAATTTAAGGAGAGAATTTGGAAAAAATATTAGGAATTGATACAAGGCCAGGAAATACCAGAAATCAAGGCAGATCTGTTATCAAGATTGTGAAAAAACTTTTTTTTGCAATCTTGACAACATCAATTTTTTCTCCACCTTTTAGGCATGTTTTATAAAGCATGTGTATGCATGTATATGTATACAGAATATAAGACCACTGAGATATTAAGGTGGTGAATGGTTCATGCATGTCCATGTCCAATGCTTTGCTTCAAACAATCTCAGCAATCACCTACACCCATAATCACCCCATACTTGGAGAGGAAATGTTGCAAAATGCCCTACAAGCTTTAAAATTCCCTTTTTATTTTAGGAAGAGGTACCTCATCCCCAGCATTCCGCTTCCCTAACCAAAACTCCTTTCTTGTTCCCATGTTCTAATGAAAATTTGGTCTTTGTAGATGGCACCCTTCTTTAGTCCTCAATCCTTGTATTGCGCTTCTTTTCTCCCTTCTCACATCTTTTTTCACAATTTATTTAGAACCATAATGGCCGTTCCTATAGTTGATGGTATTGACTGGGACAACTTCCGTTATGCACCAGTATATTCCAAAGAACATTTCCGTGGTATTTTTGAATGGGGTTTTCTATATAAGGAATCCCGCGTCCCAGATAGGGAGCTTAATACAAGAGCACATGACAGCGAACCTTACAAGTAAGCTCCATAGTAAATCAATCTCTCGTTTAACCCATTGCATATATGGTAGCTTTTTTTGCAGAATGAAAATCCCAATTTTATTGTTTCTAACCCTGCATGGATAGTCCACCTCAAATTTTTTATTTATTTTCACAAATTGTTTTTAACACAATTATAGTGTCCAACATTAGATGTGTTTATATTCTAGAATTAATCTGAAAATAAGTTCTTCATTTATGTTGAATTATCTAATGCAAGCATACAGTTCTTGAGATCTAATAGTATTACTGTGTATTAATATTTCCATTGTCAAGACACACATCTTGATACTTTATATTCTAAATATCTGCATGACAGGCATGTATAACATAGACTAAGAATTTAAAATTATATTAAGAGTATGGATAATGGAGGCATGTTTTTTCTTAATTAGTTAAAGTACTGAATTGGCTTCTGTTAATTTTTGTTTTATATAATTTAATGTATAGATTAAATTGTGTGTGAGAAAATAGGATTTTTTTTATATTTAGCAATTAAATAATAAATTTTTCCAATCCGTGATATCCCAACTCAATATCTGATATTTTATACAGTAATCTGAATAAATCTGGTTAATCTAGTTAAAAAGTTCACTGCAAAAGATAAAGAATAAATACACCACAAATATGAAATGATAAGGCTATTTTAAATGATCTGTACATGTTTAGGGCCCCTACACATGCAGGAGGTTTGTTTGCCATGGATAGAAAATATTTCTTTGAAATGGGAGCCTATGATGAGGGGATGCAGATCTGGGGTGGAGAGAATTTTGAACTCTCATTCAAGGTGAGTAAAATTGTTAAAATGAGAAGTTTTGTAATAGAAATACATTAAAAGTGGAAAAGAAGAAACAAATATAGATTCAGAAACTTCACTGTTATTCAACCTGAGCAAAATCATTTTTTGAATATCTCTAATGAATATATGATAATGCAATGGCTAATACAGATTCATGATAATGCAATGGTTAATACAGATTCATGATAATGCAATGGCTAATACAGATTCATGATAATGCAATGGCTAATACAGATTCATGATAATGCAATGGTTAATACAGATTCATGATAATGCAATGGTTAATACAGATTCATGATAATGCAATGGCTAATACAGATTCATGATAATGCAATGGCTAATACAGATTCATGATAATGCAATGGTTAATACAGATTCATGATAATGCAATGGTTAATACAGATTCATGATAATGCAATGGTTAATACAGATTCATGATAATGCAATGGCTTAAATACAGATTCATGATAATGCAATGGCTAATACAGGTTTATGATAATGCAATTGCTAATACAGATTCATGATAATGCAATGGTTAATACAGATTCATGATAATGCAATGGTTAATACAGATTCACGATAATGGAATGGCTAATACAGATTCATGATAATGCAATGGCTAATACAGATTCATGATAATGCAATGGTTAATACAGATTCATGATAATGCAATGGCTAATACAGATTCATGATAATGCAATGGCTAATACAGATTCTTGATAATGCAATGGCTAATACAGATTCATGATAATGCAATGGTTAATACAGATTCATGATAATGCAATGGCTAATACAGATTCATGATAATGCAATGGCTAATACAGATTCATGATAATGCAATGGCTAATACAGGTTTATGATAATGCAATTGCTAATACAGATTCATGATAATGCAATGGCTAATACAGATTCATGATAATGTAATGGCTAATACAGATTCATGATAATGCAATGGCTAATACAGATTCATGATAATGCAATGGCTAATACAGATTCATGATAATGCAATGGCTAATACAGATTCATGATAATGCAATGGCTAATACAGATTCATGATAATGCAATGGCTAATACAGATTCATGATAATGCAATGGTTAATACAGATTCACGATAATGGAATGGCTAATACAGATTCATGATAATGCAATGGTTAATACAGATTCATGATAATGCAATGGCTAATACAGATTCATGATAATGCAATGACTAATACAGATTCATGATAATGCAATGGCTAATACAGATTCATGATAATGCAATGGCTAATACAGATTCATGATAATGCAATGGCTAATACAGATTCATGATAATGCAATGGCTAATACAGATTCATGATAATGCAATGGTTAATACAGATTCACGATAATGGAATGGCTAATACAGATTCATGATAATGCAATGGCTAATACAGATTCATGATAATGCAATGGCTAATACAGATTCAAAACTTGAAATATTTTATATTTGAAATAGTCTATAGCATATATTTTGTGTTGTAGCTATGGCAATGTGGAGGCAGCATTGAATGGGTCCCTTGCTCTAGAGTGGGACATGTTTACAGGAATCACATGCCGTATGGGTTCGGAGACATCAATCCTAAAATACCAGTAATTTTACTCGTAAGTATGATTCTAATAATAGTTATTTTAGGAGTACAACTACAACTACATTCAATGCATACACCAATAAAGTAGAAGGTATATGTTTTTAAGTGTCATTTTGATAATTCAGTATAAATTGCAAATGAAATGCAAAATAATGATTTACCCAAAGGGATACCTTTCATCTGTATATTTTATGACTTGAGCTGCTGTTTAACAAAATTAAGAATTCACACTAAATTCTAAACATAGCAGGGTTCGTACACACCTGGAAATGTCAGGGAAATTGATTTATTTTTCCAGGTGCTGGAAATGTCAGGGAATTTTAAAATTGGGTCAAAAAAGGCCAAAAATGTCAGGGAATTTTGAAACAGTAGATGTGTCAGGGAAATGTCAGGGAATTTTGCATGATTGTTGAAAAAATAATGTTCCAGTAAAATACATTTTAAGGCTATGACAGGATATCAATGAAATCCAAAATCAAATGTTTAGTTGTTTGCACTAATTGTGAATATTTTCATTAGGGTTGATTGAATGAAATTAAATCTGGTTTTGTCTGTTTCTAAGAACAGTGTGAACATTATACTGAAACCGAATAAAGAATATAGATGGTTCAATACAATTATGCTTTTCCATGTAGTAAGTTAGTCTTAGGCCATTCAAGGTTGACTGGTATATCTTTCATGGTTTGTTGAGGGGTTAATCTGAGGAAGACGGGAGGTGAAAAAAAAATCTTGGAACTCTTTACAGTTCAAAATTGTATTTATATTAATGAGCTGTCTGTTCAACAGTCTGGTTGTATTCAGTCTATTTATCTTTCAGGATGATAACTCAAATATCAGTTGACAGATTTGGTTAAAATTTTATATACCAATGCTTTTGTTACTGTATATAGAGCAGGCCCGTAGCCAGGATTTGCCAAGGGGGGTTCAGTTTTCAAAAATTTCCAGGGGGGGTTCACATGATAGGGACGTCCCTTTCCACTGATTAAAATGAAAAACTCTTTGTTGCAGAACTATATGCGGGTGGTTGAAGTGTGGCTAGATGACGAATTCAAGGAATATTTCTACACCCGAGAACCAACTATACGTGGTTACGACATTGGAGATATATCTAAACAATTGCAGTTTAAAAAGGATCATAATTGTAAAAGTTTTAAATGGTTCATGGAGAATGTTGCTTATGAGGTGACGGATAAATTTCCGTATCCACCTCCAAATAAAGCCTGGGGTGAGGTAAGTTTAAAATACATTTTGTTTATTTTTTTATTAAAATATTTATTCACAAAAATAAAGAAACATATTTACAAAACAGATCAATACATTTTATATTGATACAACAGCCCTTCAAAATATTTGATGGCCTTCTGAGACATTTTAACAAAAATTCTTTTAACATTTCATTAATTCAGATTAATTGTAATTTCTCATGTTGCTACCATAGAAATAAAACTGAACTTATGGTTCATTAAACTAAGATATATCATAGACAGTGTATGGTTAGCAGAATGGTGACAATACTGTAAACATAAAATTTTCAAGTAATGGTTGTATAATATTAGAAAACTAAAAGTTGTGAAGACGGAAGAACAAGTGATTTTGAAATATGTTAAACCCACTCATTTCTTTGTACATTTAGATCATACATTGTTTATAAAAGATATAACATCAGTTGTCTGATAGAATCGAGTTTGGTATTTTAAATTCCCATATATTAATTTGCCTCTAGATTTTACCCAGAGCACAAGGTAGCACCCTGTGTTGGGACACACTCTCCAGACCCCTGGGTGGAGACCCCATTGGCATCAGTGGATGCCATCATTTAGGTGGCAACCAGGTATCCCCACTCGCTTACCCACCCAAGTTTCTACACTTTACCATTTTTGATCTTAATGAATGATTTATTCTTACTTTTCTGAGATAAAAAATTGGGAATATAAAATTGGGAATATGCATTAATTCCTCATCAAAGTATTTTCAGGAGAATTAAAAGAAGTACATGTAGTTACTTGGGCAAAAAACATGGTGTCCCAAAAGAGTATTTTTGTATATATATATATCTTTTATTGACTCTCTGATGTCATTGCAATGACATATTAGTCACTACAAACTACAATATACAAAATTAAACTAAGACTAAACTAACTACTTCATAGGAAATATACAAAGTTGTAAAATACAATTACAGCATCACAAAATGTAAAATACAAAAATATGAAATAGTTGTAAAATACAGATACAACATGACAGAATTTAAAACATCAGTGTGATGTATCATTGTTACAATATTAATCCAGTTTTTTGAATGAATGATAAATGAACTTTGCTAGATGTAAAATTACATAAGAATTTTTATGAGACAAAAGCTTTTTGAAAATAAAGTCAGGACTTCCTACGAAATTGCGTAAGGGTGTCAAACAAAAGTTTTCTTTCTGTTGTATTTTTCTTACACACCATGATAAAGTGTTGTTCATCTTCTAAAATACCACACATATTACATAAACGTTCATCCAAAGGTCTTGGCTTAGGCTTCAAATGACGACCAATTTCTATATGTAATTTGTGTGAACTAAGCCTCAATCTACTAACTGCTTGTCTGTAATTTTTATTTTGTATATTTAAATAACCCTCTCTTTCAAAGACATTTTTGAATGTTATGTAAGTTCTTAAAATAGGATATTTGAAAATATCTTTCTGCCACTGAGACTTATAATTCTGATACAGTTTTTTTGTTATCATCTTCATAAAAATATAATCATCATCGATCTTTTGAGTTTCCCAATATGAGAATAAATCACATTTTTTCAAAATATCAGTGATTTTGTTTGACCAAGTGCCTTTAATATATATGTATATTTACATTGTACTTGGATTTAATTGGCAATGAAGGCCCAAGGAATTTGCTAGATTTTTTAGAATCTTAGAATTGTATTTTTAGCTATCCAATAGCCAGACTTCCTTTCATCCAGTATGAAAAATCATGAATATATAGAATTTTTATTTTTTTGGACAAAGCCTAGTTATGCCTGGGTCACATTAGCTCCGATTCATCAGCTGGCGCCCGGACGATTGAGTATTCTGTTCAAAACTGAATACAATTGTGAGCAGGATACTCAATCGACCAGGCGCCGGCCGATGAATCGGAGCAAATGTGACCCAGAGATTACAGGAGGGAAAAGAGAATGTTGCACCTTTAGAAAAGTTCTTAGACTGTTGGAAGAACACCGAGAATTTTTATTTTTAACATTTAAGAGAAATTGTAGATATTTTAGGATTGAGCTTACTAGTTTTGAAATGTGGTAGATAGATTTTACATGTTGTACAGAAATCTACTTTTGATTTACACTAGAAATTAACATAGATTTGTTTTTACACATGTTATTTCAATTCTAATTATTCAGGAGGTGAATGCTAGGAGTATATCTTCCTACATCTTCTGGATGAATGCTGCTTCTGTTTTTTCATATTCACCGGGTCCTAATATGTTACAAGGACACTGTGTAGAAATGAATCATTCACTATCCGAAGTTTATCTATTTTGTGTCCAAGAAATGCTATCCTTGTACACATTAGAACCCAGTTATATTTTTTCAGCATAATTCTGAAGCTAGCTATGAGGCAGGCCACTGAGGCCAGGCAGTAATATTGCAGAAAAATATATTAGTGACATTTTTTCGACCTTGCCAAAATTTTGAAAACTATATCCCATAGCCAAGGAGACAGATGCGTAATATCCAATGTTTTGCCTCGGCTTTTATGGATCCTAGCTACATCTCTGATAATGTTTAATTTTCATGAGCTCTTGCCTCTATTCTACAACTTTTCTAGCTCTTTCATCTTCTCTTAATTTTTTTTCATTTTCAATGTGACCTCGCTTCCATTCCCTTTCTATTCCTTAGCCTACATTTTGCATCTTCCCAATGATCTTTGTCTCTCCTTCTAGATTCTTTTGATCTACTAGTATATTGCACTGTAGTATACTGTACTGTACTATACTTAGTGTAACCATACAGTACTGTAGTCTCATAGAAAGTAATGTTATTTTATGTTGTTTTTTGCTTATTGTATGTTATAGATAAAGCTCAGGAATGGCTATTCTTGCATTGACACCCTCAATAAGCCACTAGGTCAGCCTATCGGTATAGGCGGCTGCCACCACTATGGAGGAAGTCAGGTATTCTAGCTAAAAATATATTCTGCTCTCCTGATATTTTGACACCTTGTAGAATTGAGACATGGAAATAGTTCACTTGATTCTTGGTGAATATTAAATATTTGCTTTATACTCTTTTTGGACACCATGCTTTTACATGCAATTTAGCATTATGTAAATTACGATAAAATTAGTACAATTTCAATTCTGCTAACAATTTGGTATTTCACATATATTGAATAATAATTTTGATAAATATTTGACATCATATTTTCTCAAAGTATATATGTATTTGTAGCGAGATCAATAGTGCAAATAAACAGGGAAATAGTTCATTCATGGAACGAAGCGTGAAACTTTCCATATATCTTCTATATACATTCATCTTTGATTTAAGAGCATGAGACATTTTTTTGGTGCACTAGAACGACCAAAATTATTACAAATGCCCCCTCCCACCAAATCCTGGGGGGTGGGGGAGAGAGAATTTATTTTTTATTTTATAAATGTGTTTAAATATGCTCATATTGCAGATTTAGCATACTTCTTTCTTAGTTAAGACAGATTGGCATTATAATAAGATGATTTCTCATGAATTTTAACATTCTTAAAGCCTGACCGAGGTTGACACCCACTTTTCCTATATTGAATATATTCATTTAATCAGATCTCCATTTTCGGTCTAAGAAATAATTGCTATTCACCTTTCAGCAAGATAACATCAGATTCCTTTCCTAATTATGATCTTAGGCGTTGCAATTAATCTAAGAGTTATATTGCTTAAGGTTTTGGGGTAGTCATCAGAAAATACCAAACAGGAAATGAGAAAACCATGTGGATTTTAGAATTGTTTGAACTAAGATAACAGAGTTCTGCTTTAACCTTCTATCAGTTTTACTACTCCCATATATTATTTACATGACCAGGATCATAATGGTCATTGTCAAAATGACCCTTACCATGCTGAAATAGCTTTTTCAGCCCTCTGAAATTGTGACTGAAAAAAGTTAAAAGTTAGCACTTCCGAAAGGTCACTGAACAGAATATATTGGATTTTTCAGAAAATGTGCCCATTATATTATTCTGTTCACCGACCTTTTAGAAACACGAACTTTTTACTATTTTCAGTCACATTTTCAGAGCACTGAAAAGGCTATTTCTGCATGGAAAGGGTCATTTTGACCATGACCATTGTGATCCTGGCAATGTAAATGATATATGGGAGTAGTACAACTGACTGAAGATCAAAGCAGAACTCTGTTATCTTACTTCAAAAAATTCTAAAATCTACATGATTTTTTCATTTCCTGTTTGGTGTAAATTCCCAATAACTTCCCTGAGACTTTAAAGCCTTTAGGTCATTTTTTTATTAGAAGGAATGGATGAGAACAAGATGCAAGCTTTTAAATATCCTTTAAGTCTTATAAGCAGATTCCTTCCTGAAAGTGACACACTTTAACCAGAACCAGAAGGGCCACAGAGTGACAGCTTCAGTACATTCTTCTGAAGAAAGTCTATGCTACATATACATCTGTTGAGAATCTTGACAATGGAATACCTAAAGAGTTTGATGATTGGTGTAATGCCCAACAGCATGTACCAGTTTTCATGTTTTGGTTTCTAGTTATTCAAATTGAACTCCTCTGCCTTAACTATGTGAGGGCTATCGGAAAACTTCAGCTTTACCTCCAATCAATAAGCAAGCTTCTCCCGTTTTTTCATTTTTGACCACTCCAACTATGCTCGATGGGTTCCGGTACATCTAAGGGATATGGTGCAACTACCAGAAAAACACCCAGAGATCTATGAAGCCTTCCTGAAGAGCTACTTCACTGTGTGTAAATTGAGACGAAGCTTTTCTGCCATAGCAATCGATCAAGCTCATGAGCAGAAAAACAATCTTGTTAAATCAGATGGTGGAGCAGTGGGGCTCTTTGATAACCCAGACAGCTCTACAGAAGTGGATGGTTTGAGGGCCTGAATTATCCAGACTGATCACCGAGTTTGAGAATAATATATTTGATCATCAAGATGAGGACCTATCTAATCATGAACAAAGCAAAAGTATTCAACAAAAGTTCATCAAAAGAGACATCAACAGACTTGTACTCCTTAGACAACAAAGAAGTTGTATCATCAACACCGTTATATGAAATGGAGCAAGCTGGCCAGAGGGGTCATTCATCAAGCTATCGCAAGCACGTCGCAAGCCTGCGATGTCGCAAGGGCCCTTTTTAGGGATTACGTCCTATTCATCAATCTCGTGCGACTGCGATCGGTAGAATTTTCTGCGACGTCGCAGTGAAATACCCCTAAAATGGCCCAAATTTAAGCGACCGGTAGTACCCAGTCGCAGTGATTTTAGTTCACGAAAAATGTCTTAAATTAGTTGAATTTCTTTATAAAATTATATAGAAATTCTAGGACGTATAGTTCGATATTCGATCCATGTTATATTAAAATTGCAGAGCATATGCGTTATGTTTAACATGTTTGTGATGCTACCAAAAACAGCTAGTTTTCGGCTTGTATTTTTAAGTACTTCACCGTGCGACCGGTCGCAGTGATTGTGTGATTGTGGTTTTGACCCACGTGACTGTGCCCACTCAGTATCCATATTGTCAATCTTGCATGACACGTTAATCGTCCGTTGGAAGCGTTTATTCGTTCGAAATGGCGCAACTGATGGTTGATTTCAACCGTAATGCTCTGCGTAGAGAACGCGTACTTAGAGATCGTACAGATCCTCTTCAAATAAACGATGATGCGGACCTTATTTTGCGATGTCATATGCCTAGGGTTAACTATTATAAAAGTTTACGAAATGATACAAGAGGATCTCGAAAGGATAACTAACACGTGTACAAGCACGTCCACATGGTAATCACTGCGACTGGTCGCATGGACATCGCAGACTGCGATTTGTTAATGAATAGTGCGACTGCGACCCCGCACGGTGGTCGCAGTGTCTGCGACGTCGCAGTGATTGCGATAGCTTGATGAATGACCCCTCAGGATTAGTACACATTGTACATTAAGGAAAGACTGGTTGACAGAACAAACCCTTAAGCAGACACTATGAAGAGAAACAACTACAAAATATTTAAAGAACAGAAAACAAAGATGAATATAAACAAGGAAACATTAAAAAATGACTGTGCCCTTTTCTCAAAATGACAAATAAGTCTGGCATTCTCAAACCATTAGAGCAGCTACCTACTGGAAATCAACAAGTTGAATGCCCACAGGTAGAAGCATTGCTCCTTGATGGTGCAGCTATTGTGCACCTTTTGAAACTCCAACAGGCCAAAATATTCAAACAGTACTCAGATCATGTGTTCAATGAATAAAAACTATATTTCTTCCCAGGTAGCATGAGTGGAACGACTAGACATTGTGTGGGATCAGTACCTGGAAAACAGTTTTAAACTATCAACCAGACAGAAAGAAGGAACAGGCAAACAACGCCAAGTGGATGGATAGCTTTTGGAAATTGGAAAAATTATCCAACCCATGAAATGGGTCCCTTGGACTTAGCATGGCCACTTGTCTCCCCTTATTTCATGCTCTCACTGGTTAAGACACCACATCTGGATTCCATGGTAAATCCAAAACAACAGCATGGAAACAATGGAATGCTTATCCCGAATTGACAAACGCCCAATTTTGGCTAAAGATCCAAATAAGTTAGCCGTAGCTATGCCAATCATTGAACCTTTCATTGTTATTTTATACAATACAGAAAGCAACAAAACAACTATAAATGCTGCAAGACAAGAAATGTTCATGAAGAAAACCAATCAAATTGAGAACATTCCCCCAACATTAGACGCTTTAGAGCAGCAAGTGTGTCATTTACCAGGCAGTATATGTAAGGGGGCAGTCCACTATAGCCACCCCAGTTATTCCATCACCCTCACAATGGGGTTGGGAATCAATCAACACCAAGACTGGAAAAATGATTTTGGTTCCAATGTGGAAGACACTACCCCAAGCCTCAGATGCTTTTAAAAATGCATTTGGAAGCAACAAAGTTCAACTAAACGCTGCAAGTGCTTTAAAGCCAATCTTCAATGTACTACCCTGCATTTGTGTAATGGGGAATGTGAACATTAATTGATAATGGCATATATAATACTTGAGTGCATATGGGTACTTAATAAGGTAACTGGTCAACTAGTCAGAGAGTGCTTTCATTAAAACCTAACAGAATCAATTTATATTTGTGATTAACACATATTATATCTTAATCACTAAAAGTGGGCGTGGCCAATAACAAGCCTTTAACAACAGAATTGACTTTCCTATAGCATATATTATATAAATATCATCAACTGATTTATCCTTATCCATTTTGTTCAGCTAAAGTAGGTTACTTTCCTATTCACAATCAGAAGATTCACTAACTTGCATACTTAACTCGTTGATAATATGGGCGTCGCCCCCCAGTCAGACTTTAACAATGGATATCCATGAGAAATGCTGATGTAATTTTAGTTATTGTTTTGAGCATACTAAAAGCATACTAAAACTGCAATATGAGTATATTCAAACATATTTTTAAAAAGAAAAAAAATTCTCTCACCCCCACCCCCAGGATTTGGTGGGGGGGAGGGGATAATTGTAATTTTTTATCGTTCTAGTTGACCAATAAAATGTCTCATGCTCTTAAATCAAAGATAAATGTATACTGATGATATATGGAAAGTTTCACGCTTCGTTCCAAGAATGAACTATTTTGACACTATTTATCTCACTATTGTAAAATATTGAAATGGAGTAAAAAACAATGTACGACATACTAACATTTTTTTATGATATTTTATGGATTTTGTTCGGTTTTGTTTTTTAGCTATTTAGGTTAAATGTGGAGGGTCAGTTGGCTAATGGGGAGAGATGCCTTGCTGCAAGGTCAAAGGGCATGGGGCTTGAGGTGTGCCCAGTGAAACAATCCGGACCCTGGGATTGGAACGAGGTAGATTTTGTTGGTTATTTTTTTATTTTGGTTGTTTAAAATGAAATGTTTCAGGGTTGTAAGTAAATAGGCAAGTTGATGACATTACAGTTAAACTTGACTAACCCAAACACCACTGGAAACAGGCATACGTGTCTGGAGTGGCAGATATTCATATTTCAAGGTTTTTAACATGAAAGTCAATAGCAGATTAAAAACGGTTCAGATAAAATGCTAAAGGACGAGAGAGGTGTTTAGATATAAAAAAGGTTTAACTGTATTTAACTGAATAAGTTGTACAGAATAATCGACCCCATGACATTTTCCTCACAATCTGATAAAAATTGAAAAAACTTGGACATTAGTGGGAGCAAGTTGTTAATTACTTTGCTTAAGGGGATGTAAAGTCTGCTTTGTATTATGGTGTTATCTTAAAATATGAAGTGGATGTAAGAACAGAATTTTCACTCAGTCCTAGTCTGAAAAAATCTGATCCTAGAATCTCCCTTTCTAAGGCAGTGAGGTTCATAATATCTGATTGAGTAAACACTTTATCAGCTTCATTTCCGGGGGACCAATTTTGTTTTGGTTCATTTGGAAATCAGATGGGTGAAAGGTAAAAGTAGCGTGAGGTAAAAGTACTAACTTTGTTGGTCTTATTTAATGGAATGAGAGGAAGTACTGAGAAGTGGACCTTTATGAGTTTCATAAAACCACAACATTTTTGGTGCACTGATTTTGTTGAATTCACAAATCAGATGGTTGAAAGCATTAACTTAACTAATGCAAGATGAGGTACTAACTTAATACATTTCATATGCAAGTAAAAACAAAGCAAGATTGTCCCAGATGTTTAGATTGAACACTGAAGGTAAACTGGTGAATGGTGAAAGATGTTTGAAGCACATACGTCAGACTAAAAAGATCTGTATTGATGTGTGCCCTGTACAACCATATGGACCCTGGGACTGGGAGCAGGTATTTATTATGTTATGATTAGGATAATTTGTACCCTTTAAAAGAGAGATTCGTCTTCACTCTTTGAGTTAGAGATAATTCTGATACTCAGGATTGGTGAGAGGAAAGAATCTTTAATTTTCTTAAAGTGGTTATGGCCATATTTTATCTGGCATTTAAAAACATGTAACTTTGTTACCCAATCCTATCTGATTAACTTGTGGCTATTTTTAGTTGAAGGTTTTGACTATAACTTGAATATTGAACGATATATTTTGTTCAGATTGATAACACTTTTAGTCATTATTTTTACTTCACTTTACTTCAGATAGAGCTATTCTCCTAAAACAGACTAAGTGGCCACATTTTAATTGATGAATGAATTATATTATATTTATTGAACAACAGTAATGACATGCATAATAGTAATGAAGAAAGATGAATTATACTAAGTGTTATGAATTTACAGTCCACAAATAACAGATAGAACACTGGTTAGAGATTTAGATTTTCTCTTTTTCTTAAGTTCCCGTTCTTTCTCCTGACGTCTTAGAACAACATTTGCCAGGTGTTTGTTTGATAAATCTATGATTCCACGTCGTTGGTTCTTATTTAAGCCGTGTTTTGGGATCACTCGCATTTCTTTAGCTGGTTTATCATTCTCAGATAGCAGTGCTTCAATGTGACGACAGTACGCTTGGTAGTCATCTGCTTTTGGAGGGATGTATCCTGGAGAAAATATATTTGTATTAATTTAAAATGCAATATTGGTGTTTAAGTTATAACATAACAATACTAACATCACATATAATGTTTACAAGATATATTTGCCTTACCCCCCTATCACACCAAACTAGTTCTTACCCGTTCTTGCCAGTCCTACGAAAATGTCGTCAAACGGGCTCAATCTGTCTGTGGTCGGGAAATATGTCTGAAATAATTAGCTTCTCCGTTCTTAAACAGTCTTCAATACGTCCATCTCGTTCGCAGTTCGTTCAGGTCGCACCACGTCGGAGTGCAACGTCGTAGAACGCGTCCCTTAGTCTAGAAGGTCAACATGACCTGATTACAGAACGGTATGGTCGTCATCAAATTTTGAATCGATTCAAAATTCTAAAATCACATTCCCGTCTGAGAACGTTCATAAAGTTCGTAAATAGACCTTAGAAAGTTGCAGCTACGTTCATTCCGTTCGCACACAGTTTAAAACCAGTTTTAAAGAACGCAGTGGCAACTTGTTTGGTGTGATAGCTATATTTTTGCTAATTCGTTCATAAGCAGTGTTAAATACGTTCTTAATCAGTTTAAACCCGTTTGCAATTAGTTCTACCTCGTTCTCAACACGTCCGCAGACAGTTCAACTCGTTGTTAAAACGTCCCTAGTAAGATTGAAGTACGACGGTTCCGTTCGTTGTACGTCCAGCTCGTCGTTAGTACGTTGTCACTCGTTCTAATTGTAGAACGTGACGACCACGAGAACATTTTGAGCATTGTCTAAGTTCTAGAGGACCTACCCGTTCGAGTACGTTCGATGAAGTTTGTAAATAGATCCCAAACGGTTCTTAGTAGGTCCAGTCCGTTCGTATACAGTTGAAGCCCGTTTTCGAGAACGCAGTGAGAACTAGTTTGGTGTGATAGTAGGGTTACACTCTGAACTGAGTGAAAATTATACAACATATGTCGTAAAATGAAAGTGAAAGTACTTTCATAGAATTCCCAGGAATTATTATGACTCTGGTTAATTTCCAGTAAACTAGGTAAACAGCCACGTAGTGAAGACTGAAGACTTTGAATTGCATATAAATTATTGAAATAAGATGACAATTCGTTGGTGTCAGATATCTAGTTTAGCAAGATATGGCAATTAGAACTCACTCAGTCTTGCTGTTTCCACGATGAGGACTTTGATGAAGCATGCTATGATTGCCAATATGCCTAACAGATGGATAATGCATCTTTCAATTGTGTCTCGTCCTTTAAAGGGATCTGAAAAAGGAAACATGGCAATTGATTACAACATGTTATGTGCTATGGTATCACATGAAATGAGTTGGTGCATTTAGAAAAATCACATTTTTCCATTGAATGGAAGACTAATTTCACAAAAGTGTTCGTTTTCTTTAAGAAAGGTTTATTCAATCATAACTTTTATCTTACCATTTTTCATAAACCAGATTCCAAAGTCAGATTCTGCTATATCATCAATATGTTCATTCACCCAGTCATTTACAGTTGAGATAGATTCATGTGTGGTATCAATGACATTGCCAATTGTGCTATTTAACCAATCGATGACATTGCCCATCATGCTATTCAACCAATCAATGACATTGCCGATTGTGCTATTCAACCAATCACGGGTAGCAAATGTGCAGTCTCTGGTCAATACAATGATGTTATCTTTAGATGTGGTCAGCCAGATCTGCGTTGATTTTGCTTGGGCAGTTGAGGTCGTCTTGATGACATCTAAGGCACCATAAGAAGTGGATTTAACCTTGTTCAACACACAGTCCATACTGAAAATGATACAATTAAAACTATAGAAGACTGAAATTGGAAATAAATGCAAAATAGACTATAGACAGTCATTATAAAACATATGCATTTTGTGTATCATTATATTTTTCCAATTGAAATATTTACTGTGTATAAAATGTAAATTGAAGATTAATTAACTTATAACATTTTCCAAATTACAAATCAATAATTTCATAAATTTACCTGATGTTATCTGTCTGAAGATATGTAGAACTCCTGTAAGCAATGAGTGCTATACAAACATTCACTAAAACAAACAAAGTCGTCATTTTCGCCATACTTTTTGCTTTTATGTCTAGCCAGAGCAGAAACTTGCAAAGAAATGATGTTTTGTTGATATAATCTATGGTAACAAGTTGTTTATATCACCTGGTGATGTTAATTGTTATATATGTATTTGATTGTGACATCACTATTTGTGGTTGTTATGTACATTATACCTTAGCAACGTTGCTATTGTTTCCTGTGATGTCATAAATTGGGTTTTGTTGCTAGGTTTAATACTTACATAGCAACTGTATTTACTTGTGATGTCATAACCTGTGTTTCTTTGATGTCATGGAATGTTGTCATGACAGTGAATGCATTATAGAAAATAAACATTGACTTGATCTTCAATATATTTGCAGAACACTGGATTAATAAGAAACAAAGATCTGAATAAATGTGTGCAAGCGATTGGTTCATCCGGACTTGAGCTTAGAGAATGCAACCAGAATGAGTCCAACCAGCAGTGGGAAATAAAGAAAATCAAGACATGGTAGAATATTTTGGAATCCCCTCAGCCATTTTTCACTGAAAAGTACATTTAGGACGGAATGCAAACTGATATACTGCTGGATTATGTTTATCCAAGGGAAATAAAAGTTTTGCAGCATTGATATAAGCAAATTCATAATATACTTAATGGAAATTGAATATAATTTTATGTGATAAGGTCCAAAATGGTGTATTTTGGACCTAAAAAGAATCATATTTACTGTAACTCCAGAGTTATTGTCTACTTTCAATATTTTAGATTTGTGTAGCTGTAAAAATCATGTCCTATTAATTGTTTGATACTAGTATAGTACCTATGATCTAGTGTCTAATGCTAGGGTTTTAACGAGAGATGTTAAATCATTCCTTCGTTCTTATGTCAAACATGCTCAAAATTCTTCAAAAGAATTTTAAATTAAAATGAGGCCAAAATATTTAATATGTTACAGGTGAAACTTGAGCATCTAGTCACAGCAACTATTAAATGCCATAGTGTTACGGGAATCTAAAGTTGGTCTTTTTGATTTATCAGAATTCTTGATGTGATATTAGAGTTCAGTCTGTCAAGCCTTACTAAGTCAACTCTACTGAAGTCAATTAAAGATGTTCAGATTGAGAGGTGTTTGAGTGTTCACTCCTAGAGGTTTAATTGTGATTTACGTGTAAGCAATTGTAAAATGTACATAAATTATATTTAGGGGAAATTTGAGAAGAGAAAGGTCATTGTTTTATGCACATTGGTATTTATTGTGTAATATTGTATTATTTTATATTATTGTATAAGATTATGTGATATTGTAAAATGCCAATTTTTGTGCCTTATGGAGAAACATCCAATACTTAAGAAATGCAAAATTCATTTCCATTTGTTTTTTGAGGAATTTTGAAGAACATCCACCATATAGGCCTATTAGCACCAATCATTAATAATTTAAGTTAATTTAGGGATACTTTTAGAATTTGAACATGGGGTACAACAAGGGTATCTATTAGCCTATATAAACCCCTATTTATTTTCAAAATGTAAAGGTACACTTTGCATAATGTAGGGTTACTTTTATGTAAAAGGATTCAAATTAGATATGAATCTATAGTTAGAAATCATTCTGAGTTAAATTTTGAAAAACATTAAGTAGAAATTACAATATGAGTAATGAGGAATTTAAAGAAACAAGATGTAGGCTTGGTCTCAAAGAAGAACGTTTCATTCCAACTGTAATTATTTTTAAGTTTGAAATATTTTAGAAAATAACGTTTGAGAGCACATTTGATGTACGAGAATATGTACATTTGATGTATGAGAATATGTACATTTGATGTACGAGAATATGTTTAAATATTATTATTTTACATTACATGTTGCCATATTATTGTATTAGGATTCTAGTTGACAAAAATGTTGATCAATAATGACATTTATGCAAATAAACTAGAGATATAATATTTTCTAGTCATTATGTGCTTCTGAGAAAATACAAGAATTTGTAGATTGGCTTTGGTTGCCATCTTGATACTAAAACTATGAATTGATAAAACATTCCAAAATATATGAAAATATGTAAAATTATGATAGATCTTATTGCATCTCATGATTTTGATAAACGTACATGTAGATGTGATATCTGGCCCTAAAAGCAAGTAGCAACATGGATAGGTTTCATGTTTTTTTCTGAACCTGTGATGCATCTCCCTCTTTGGGGAAACCCCCATGAAGTGGATTAGTTGGCTATATTAGTATTTTCTTTTAAAACAGAAGAATATAATTGCGTTCATATCAAGTTAGAGGTTGGTGATGATCTACAAGGGGGAGAGAATTATATTTGAAAATGAGCATTTTTTGGTATTGTTTGCCCTTGAGAGGGGTGTTCAGAAGGTGCACTTTGATTATTTTGTTTTGAATTTTAAAAAATGTATAAATTAAAGAACCTTATTATGAGGTTATATTTTAATTAATGTGTCTATCGAATGGTGTGTTTTGAAGTTCACTGTAAATATCACCTAACATACGTAGCCTATTTGATATTATATCATATTATGTCACCATTTAACTTATTGTGGAATAAAAAAGTTAAAAAATGATTTTAAGATTATTTGTTTTATATTTTCATCCCTCTTACATGTATTAGTACTAACCAAAAATTTCAAAAGGGCCTTAGTATAGCTTTAATGTTCTGTTTAAGAACCCCTATTCTTACTATTTAAAATGGATTCTAGCAATACTATCCCACATGAATGTACTAGATGAGATTCAATAAAATAACCTTAGTTCTTCTGAGAAAATGAGGATTCCAGCAAGGGTGCATTGACGTAACATGGTGATAGATGATGGTATCTGGATCTTAAGTTGTTGGTCAATGGTGTATGTCCCCATATTAAGTCAATGCACCCTTGCTGAAATCCTCATTTTCTCAGATCTAGTCTCATCAAGTAGATTCATGTTGGATAGTTTTGCTAGAATCCATTTTCAAAAGTAAGAATATGGATTCTTTAACAGGAAATTGGGCCTGCTTTTTAAAACTTTTTGTTGGTACTATTTGAAATTATTACAGATCATTTAGTATTCCATGATAGTGCAATTCCCAGTAATCTAATATTCAGGTCACATGTTGATGATGACCAAGATCATTATAAATGGCGTTCAACTTCAACTACCTTACAATATGCCAATAGTGCCAGAATGTATGTTTAAGGAATGAGAATTCAATATTACTTGGGATGGAACCTTGATATCCAAATACCCTGCAGCAAAAGTATCAGATGAGTTCTGAGTAACTTTTAGAAAGTGAGACAATTTTTCATCTACCTATTTTCTAGAAAGCCCAGGAATTCCATCTTTAATGAAAATGCCTTAATTTTAGCAATATTCTGAAAAGTGAATATTTCCTTTTATGGAAATAAGAGATTATGCATTTTAAATTTCCAAATCTTTTTCAGACATTATATAGTAAGGAAAACGATGCTTGTGTATTCTTTAAGCCTAGTACAATATAATCAATTCTTCATGAGATACAAACAAAAATGCAATACTTCAAATGAATCTATAACATGTTTATTCTTTAACATTTTCAAAAAGTACATCATAGAATACTCTATAACTTATCTTACATATTTGGACTAGTTATACTCATACATATACATATATCATTTATTTGAATATTCTATAAACATTTTTTAACTGATGGTCTACCATAGGATTTAAGCCCAGGGCACAATGAACTGTAGGATTTTAAGGCATGGGGCACTTGTGTGAAACTTCAAACAAGGGCAACAGACTGCGCTGTGCAGGCACATTAAATCATCACTGAGTCGATTGCTTAAATTCTTGACAGCAAAAGCTTTTGAACAATATCATTAAAAAAAAGAAATTCAACCAGAAACTTTTTTGTGAAGATTTTGCAAGGTCAACATTTTGACCTGCCTAAGCACCAACTTGACTCCTCATTATAAAATCACTGATAGTTTTTTACATAAAGATGATCACTAAATATATACAAGGCATTAACATGCAAAATGTTACCACCTGCCATTTGTAACCATCTGGTGAATACCATCCACAAAAATGTTGAGGCTATAACAATAATTGTCACCATGTCACCACTTGTGGTGGTGACATAAAAACATAACGGGTCCTGTAGAATACCTTCATGATCTGTTAACATGAGCTATCAGTGTGTAAGCCAGCATCTACATTCAACCTACCTTAAGACCTTAATGCCTATTAAAAATTATATTTTCGCATCTAGTCTCTAGTTTTCCTCCAACTATATATCCCCAATCAATATGTTTAACAGAGAATAGGGTATGAGCAGTACAGGGGCTTAATGCAAGGCTAAAATCAGTGTTATTTTTGAGAACATATTTTGACAATAATCTCTTCTTCACATCTACGTACAGTTCAGGTTTATTTCTTCTGTCATCTTTCACATCTGATTCTTTAATTTCAATTACATTTTTAATCAGAATCAGTCTAGATGTCACATTGTTATGGTTCTTTTGCCTGTTATAGAATCTGTGCCCTTTAATTGAGTGTGCATCCTTGCCCTGTATCTTCATGTAGTATGCAAGTGACATCAACAGTACCCCTTTAATGTCACTTTAATCTGCCTCTGGTTAGTATGGTAATGTTGATTCATAGAATCTGTCCCCCTTTAATTCAGTGTGTGACTGAGCCTAGTGTTTAGTATGGTAGAGGCAATGCATAGAACTGGTATGCCCCTACACAGTCTGTGTCTGAGCCTAAATGCCAGTCTGGGGGGTCAGAGCTACATTGCACCCAGGCATCATTCTGGAAGCAAAAACAGTTGTGAAACATAGGCAGGTCATATCTATTCAATGATAAAAGACTTATTTTGTCTGGTTTTAAAAATGCACAAGGACATAAATTAGAAATTTAGGGAAATGTATATCTATTGACAGTAATATTCTTATGAACAATATCAACAAATTGATTTCCACCATGTTCATTTTGGGTTGTCAATTTCCGGTTTGATGGGAGGGACACTGGCGCATGATAGCTGTCTATAGCAGTCTCTTAGATGCTAACTGTTATACTAGTTAGTAAAGGTCTTTGTTGGATTTAGTTGCGAAGCATGAATCCATGATCGTGAAATAAACAACAAAGTAGAAGCACATATCAAAAACTTAAGCATTGTAAAAGCATCAAATATTATCAAAACAATTTCTAACTGTTCAATTTCATGAGACAACAAGGCATCAGGCTTAATAGGATTGAATTTATTTGATACTTGTCATGCCTAAAGTTGATATTTTACCTGATTGCTATGTTGCGTAGGTTCAGTGAACCAAGCCTTCTCTGTGTGTTTAAGCCACTGTTCTTCCGCACAGTTAAACTGCTGTACAGATAGTACTGGAACATTAAAGGCAGAATCTGATCTATATGGGTTGACAAAATTACAAGCAACATGTATAATTGACCTACCAATCTATTCCTTACAATATCAAATACAATATCTCCCAAAAGATTCACAATATGTAATAAATTGGTGAAGTTATTAATGATTCAAAGTGCAAAAATGAGTGAAAAATGTTTAAATTCTCCCAAATAATAAGAATGGTAACATTCTTATAGACAAATAATGCATTATTGTAAAAAATCTTTAGTTTTCCTGGAATAAAGTATGCACTCTTGTGATTTTTAGAAAATAGACATGACAAGGAATGACATAAGCCAAAAATATTCTAAAATTGAAACTTTTTTTTGTTCAGCCTGCTCGCTATATCTGATTCTCTCTTTAAAGATATCATTTGTAATTTTTTAATGATTTATTTATTTATGGCATCACCCATTATATATGGTATATTGAATTTACGAAAAGTAAACATTTGTAAATCTTTACTAAAATCATAACTAACAAACATTACTCTAAAATAGCAATAATTATTGAAATGTTTGCCCAGCCTCGACCAAGAATTTGCAGAGTTTAAGAAGATATAGTTTTGCTGGTTACCAATAAACCAGATGTTAAATTTCAGATTTAATTTCAGAATGGTTTATATTTTTAAAGAGTTTGCTGTCAAATGTCGGAATAAACCAATTTCAATTAGAATAAACAACTGTTCAGGGTGTGTTACTGTAAAGGCTTAACTACCTATTGCTTTGCTGATCTTTGATTGTGCTGCATTGTTCTTTGTATTGAGCATATCGAAGTATGCAGCTAGGTGCAGGTATCTAGGCTTGAACACGGGGAATTGGCTCAGTACAGTCTTCAACTGCTTCAGTTGCTATGGTAATATAATAACAACAACAACAACAATGATTTAATGTTTTGACAATATTAAATGCATTTGTATTTTTGTCACCACCACAATTGATGACATTGTTATAGTCTCCAACTTTTTTGTGGATGGTGTTTGTAGGTTGACATTTGTCGTTCAGTGGCTGGTGTCTGTAACAAATGGCACGTGGTGAGATTAATCATGTGTATTGTTATTTATTTTAATACAGTAAATCTACAAATCGTCACATCAACTCACATTTGGGGTAATCAAGGGCTATTAGAGATTCTTATGTTCAGTTATTAGTGTACAATTAGTTACTGCCATTGAGGGAAATAGTGCAAAATATTTTCCTCAAGGGAATATCCTGTCCACTGACATGTTCCCGAGGCTGCAGGCCGAGGGAACAAGTCAGTGGACAGGATATTCCCGAGAGGAAAATTTTTACACTATTTCCCGAAAATGTGGCAGTCACTATTTGTTTTATTATATACCTGATAAGTACTCTGTAAACAAAAACAAGAACACAAATGTGTACAATATGTCCCCACCAATGGGTGATCCCATGAAATGGTTATCCTGAAAATGAGTAGACATGACTTTACCAACACAATTTGAGGACGGAAAATCCAAAATGGCCACCTTAAAATTTACCCAAAATGCCAAAAATTTAGTCAGTTCTAGATTTTCAAACTAAGAACCACCCCTGAAAATTTTAAATTGATCTGTCACACAGTTCAATAGAAAACATGTAAACAAGACATTTACACAAAATGCCAAAAAACTAATCAGATGTAGATTTTCACACTAAGAATGATCCCTGAAAATTTGAAATTGATCTACCAAACGGTTTATCTAAAAACGTGTAGACTTTACAGGCATGATTTTGAAACGAAAAATCCAAAATGGCTGCCTTGACATTTATCCAGAATGCCAAAAAACTAATCAGATCTAGATTTTCATACTAAGAATCATCCCTGAAAATTTGAAATTGATCTACAGAACGGTTCACCTGGAAATGCGTAGACAAGACTTTACAGACATGATTTTAGGACGGAAAATTCAAAATGGCTGCCTTGACATTTACCCAGAATGCCAAAAAAACTAATCAGTTCTACATTTTCATACTAAGAATCATCCCTGAAAATTTGAAATTGATCTACCAAATAGTTCACCTGAAAACGCGTAGACAAGACTTTACAGACAAGATTTTAGGACGGAAAATCCAAAATGGCTGCCTTGACATTTACCCAGAATGCCAAAAAACTAATCAGATCTAGATTTTTATACTAAAAATCATCCCTGAAAATTTGAAATTGATCCACCAAACGGTTCACCTGAAAACACGTAGACAAGACTTCACAGACAAGATTTTAGGACGGAAAAATCCAAAATGGCCGACAATAAAAAAGTGATTATGAGTATTTGCTGATTTCTTTTTACAAAATTATCACATATTACTACTGTTAACAATAACATAGGCTTTTACAACAAAGTAGATCTGAAATTATTTATAAAGCTACTAAATAGTTAAAGTATGAAAACTCAAAAACACCATTCAATATGATACAAAGTATTATCGTGCGCTAACTTTTCTTAAGACATTCAAAATGGCTGACATGACTGAGCTAACAGGTCCAAAACCTAATCAGATCTAGAATGAAGTGAGCTGAACAAGATGTTAAAGTTTTAAAAGCAACTGTGAAGCCGTTTTTCTTAAAGTTTGCAGACAAGGATTTTAGCATTTGACTTCAAAATGGCCGACAGGAAGTAGGTATCGAGTTCAAATTTTTTCATCCACATCTGTATGCACTCATAAGTTATCCCTGAAAATTTGAAGGTGATATCTGTAGCGGTTTTGGAGAAAACTCCCGGACGTACGGACGGACGGACGGACAGACGGACGCGCCTAGGCCGACAATATGGCCCCACACTATGTGGTGGGGACATAACAAAATGAGAAGTCTTTTCATTTCAATATCAAATGTTCACAGGTTCTTATTGGCATTTAAAGGCATTTTACCTTTCAACTCCTATAATCTCAGATTTGGGGGAAGATAAAATGTACTATTGACTGGTCACATGACCTAACTGGTGATTAGTACAATTCATCTTCCCTGAAAGCAGGGATTTAGGACTTTCCAGGGAATTAGTTCATCTATTCCATGTCATGTGACTATGAATAAGCCAATGAGCATCTAGAATACATTTGAGGTATATAATAATGTTGAATGTTTCAACAAAATAGATTTCTCAACTTTAAAATTCAAATGTTTGTTTCTTGCACTTCTGTGATTGGGGAATGTTAGTCAACATGTATTAAATTGTTGTTCTCATTTATTAAACTGTATTCACATTTACCTTACTGACGAGTTTCATGATGGTTCTGGTGATGCTGTTCCTCTTCAGTCTGATGTTGACAGACAGTTGGATGAGGTGAGACTCCAAGGCCTTCACAAAGGCATGCAACTGTAGCACACTGGTGTGCTTCTCTATGTAGACAGAGTCCATCACCTTCAGCCAAGTACGACTCTCATCCCACTCATTACGTCTACTGTGCCTAGACATTATGTAGGGACATTTTTAAGTTAGCCCATTGTTATAAGTTAATTTTTTTTAGGGTATTTAGGATGACAACTACAGGCACTGGCTTTTTAAATTATTGTTTTACTTATATTTCAAGAGGAGGTGGATGGAGAGAAAAATAAATAAATTATATTAAATATAACAAATTTAAGTACATTTGAAAAGTAAACATGTAGCGAAAATGAAAATATTTTTTTTTCAATTTATGAAATAATGATTTTTCATTAATTATTTAATATATATGGACATAACATAAAACATTCAAACTACAAAATCTAAGCTTAAAATACAGTTGAAATTTTGCACATAGTCTCAAGATATACCCAATCATTGATAAGATATGCCTCATCTTTTACAAGATTGGTCAATTATTTACAAGATATGTTTCATCATTTAAAAGAATTACCTCATTTGATTTGTCTTCTTGAGCCTATCTGTTAGTGTGTGTAAAACTTACATCAAAGAACACAACTGGTAGCAAAAAGTTAACACCACTTTTCAATATGGAGAGACTTTGGTTAAAGCAGGATAATTTAACACATACTTTAGTCTTGTATCCTCCCAACCCACTCCTATTTCTCACGAAGAGGTGTTCAATGACACAGAAATATTACTGTAGATACACTTATTTTGACGCTACTTAATTTGACGGATTTGCTCAATTTAAAATATTGGTGGAGGATTCAGGACTGAAGTTTAATTTTTGGAGATGTTTATGTCATTGGCCCCAGGAGTTTAATTTCAGAAGTGCAATGGACAAAAATTCCAAACTGAAATTTGACGGCTTTTTAATTTGGCGGATTAACTGAATCCGCCAATCCGTCAAATTAAAACGGGAGCCAAATTAAGTGTATCTACAGTAAATGAAAACTTAACTGTCTTATACTAAAGCGAAAACATGCATAGCAATATGCTCTTTCACATAGCATGAATGTGTAGCACCTACCAGAGGGTTAGACATGCAGTGAGATAGTACTTGACCAGGTTCTCAGTTAGGGCAGGTTCATTTACCAGTTCCTTCATAGTAGCTAGCATATCTGTAACGTTCTGGTCAACCTTGAAGCCTTGAAGGGTTGAGATCAGGTTATAACCTTTAATGGATGGTTGGATGGGTGGGTGGTTGGATGGATGGACTGAAGGAGCAAGGGATGGATGGATGGGACAGATGGATGGACAGATGAATAGATGAAATAATTTCAGATCAGTTTCTCTTATAAATGATAAATTGGACAGATGATTTATTTTTCAATTGGTAACAACATTCTCAATTACCTCATCGGATCAATATAAATATCTATAACTGGTCAAAGTATCTTTCATGATTTTCCAAATGGAATGGGTGCAAAGTGAAAAAGTTCAGATACCTATTGCAGAATCAAACTAACATAAACTAAATTCTTATACAAGCCCTTTTAGTTATACATAAAATGTCACAATTGTCATGTTTTAGCACAAAACAGCCAGAGTAGAAAAAGCGTGGAGTAAAAAAGCAAGAAAAGCAATGAAAAACAGGACATATTATCTACATGGCACTTGTGCGTGTATATTGGTATAGGAAGACAAAAGAGGAAAAGCATAATCCAAGTGAATTATCCTGGAATATATTGTGAAACTTTAAGAACTAACCCCACCTAAGATAATGATCACAATTTTACCTGTTTCCAATGCAAGGTCCATACATGAAGCATAAAACCAGGCCTTTCCAACCTTACAATCCACTTCATGAGTGATGAACTCTAGTTCTTTGGTGTTATCGATGTACTGAGATATCCTGGAACAAGAAAACATCAAGAATTTTTGCTTAGGGGCCTGTGCCATACTAATCTATATGAGACTATATTTGTTCTTTTCAAATTAGATGACAGTGTTAGTTAATAAAGGAGGAAAGGTATAATGTAAGGAGTTCGATTTCAAATGCTTGATACATTTCAAAACCAGAACAACGGCAACGCCAAAGCGTAGCGAATCCCATCGAACAGAAATGGCTGGCATTTTTACAAACGAAGCAAAAATATCATAAAACAACACACCAGAAAGGCCGCCATTTTCAAAATGGTTGCTCACTAGCTAAGTTGTCATCAGAAGAAATAATATGCTTTTAAGTAGCCACTTCTAAAATTTTTGAAAAATCGCACACGTACTTGTAAAATAACACACATAAAAATGGTGGCCATTTTTCAAAATGGCCGACTACTCCCCAAAGTTTTATTAGACAATGTGCCATGCTTAAAGTATTCACATATCAAATATGAACAAAATCGCTCCACTACTTTTCGAGTTATAGTAAAATACGTTAAAATCGTGGCCATTTTTCAAAATGGCCACCTTCTACCAAAAGCGTCATTAGAAATAGACGGTGTGCCATGCTTATAGTATTCACATACCAAATATGAACAAAATCGCTCCACTACTTTTCGAGTTATAGTAAAATATGTTAAAATGGCGGCCATTTTTCAAAATTGTTTTCAAAATGGCCGCCTTCTACCAAAAGTGTCATAGGAGAGTGTGCCATGCTTATAGTATTCACATACCAAATAAGAACAAAATCGCTCCACTACTTTTCAAGTTATAGTAAAATTCGTTAAAATGACGGCCATTTTTCAAAATGGCCGCCTTCTACCAAAAGTGTCTTTAGACAGTGTGCAATGCTTATAGTATTCACACACCAAATATGAAAAAATCGCTCCACTAGTTTTTGAGTTACAGCAAAAATCGTAAAATTACGAGTAAAGGCCGCCATTTTTCAAGATGGCTGCCATGTGCTTTTTTAATATCTACATTTGTAGCATTATTAATCTCCTTTATAATTTTTTTACATTTAAAACATATTGCTATTACAGTTTTACATATTGCACCTAAATTACTGTAAAATCGTCACTAAAATGGCCGCCATTTTGAAATGAGCAGCCATTTTGAAAATCGGCTTTCGAGCAGAACTTCTACCCCCATATGGTATATGTGTACAAAATATGAACAAAATCGGGCCAACGGTATTTGAGTTATTGCCCGGACGGACGGACAGACGGACGGACGTACGTACAGACGGGCGGACGGAGGCGTTCCCTATATCCCTCTGAACTTCGTTCGATGGGATAATAAAATAATCATACTATTTCATTTACTCACTTGCATGCCATAAGCAAGGCTTGGCCCAGCAAGGGCAACACTTGTATCTTGGCATCAGTGTCATGGAGTTTGGCTATGATCCTGGTTGCAGCAAAGCCTAAATAAAAAAGAACGCTCTACTGTTAATGTTTAGTCATAAACAAGGCTTGGCCCAGCAAGGGCAACACTTGTATCTTGGCATCAGTGTCATGGAGTTTGGCTATGATCCTGGTTGCAGCAAAGCCTACAAAAGAACGCTCTACTGTAAATGTTTAGTCATAAGCAAGACTTGGCCCAGCAAGGGCAACACTTGTATCCTGGCATCAGTGTCATGGAGTTTGGCTATGATCCTGGTTGCGGCAAAGCCTACAAAAGAACGCTCTACTGTTAATGTTTAGTCATAAGCAAGGCTTGGCCCATCAAGGGCAACACTTGTATCTTGGCATCAGTGTCATGGAGTTTGGCTATGATCCTGGTTGCGGCAAAGCCTACAAAAGAAGACAGACTCCCGTTAAGTCAAATATCTCCCAAGCATTGGTGCAAGTAGGTACTGCATCCACTTGAAAAACAAATCCTTAATTGGGAGAATACTGTCAACTGATGATTGCTAAAAAGTAATTTTATACTGCATGTAAATATTTTAGAGGTTCAAATCCACTCTCAGCTTAAATATTGAGAAAGCATGAAAACATTTAAACCTAAATCTGGTTGTACACTATGTGATATCAAGAAACTAATTGTCGGAATGATTATTAATTCAGAGAATGAATTACTGGAAACTTAGGCTGACAGTATTGGTCAAACAGTTATACAAGACCTTATTGTGGAGATTCTTTATGACATAGAATCACAACCATTTGAATATCTTTGTGTTCCTGACATGTTTGAGCATTAAGAGGTAACAATGCATGTCCAAATATTTATATATGATTGAGACTGAGAGATAATACCACTTTAAAAAATATGATTATAGTTTCATACCTGACTCTATGGCATCTTTTATGTGACTATTTGAGAGTTGAACAGTCATGGCTGACTTGAAGAGATGGGCAAATGTCAACCAATCTTCAGGATTCATTGAATCCATGGCTAATGTAATTCTGGAATGAGAAAATCCAGTTATTTTGGTAGAAGAAATCAAGTTCAGTATCTATTGCTATTTTGGTAGAAGAAATCAAGTTCAGTAACTATTGCTATTTTGGAATGAGAAATCAAGTCCATGGGTATTGTTATTTTGGAATGACAAATCAAGTCCATGGGTATTGTTATTTTGGAATGAGAAATCAAGTCCATGGCTATTGTTATTTTGGAATGAGAAATCAAGTCCATGGCTATTGTTATTATGGGATGACAAATCAAGTCCATGGGTATTGTTATTATGGGATGACAAATCAAGTCCATGGGTATTGTTATTATGGGATGGCAAATCAAGTCCATGGGTATTGTTATTATGGGATGACAAATCAAGTCCATGGGTATTGTTATTATGGGATGACAAATCAAGTCCATGGGTATTGTTATTATGGGATGACAAATCAAGTCCATGGGTATTGTTATTATGGGATGACAAATCAAGTCCATGGGTATTGTTATTATGGGATGACAAATCAAATACATGGGTATTATTATTATGGAATGACAAATCAAGTCCATGACTCAAGATTCATGGGGTCCATGGCTAATGTATTCTGGACTTCAAGTTGCAATTTATATTTTGGAATGAAAATGAGGAATTCAGTCTATAGCTAATGTTATATTAGTCAATCTTGGTTGCTTAAAGGAATTTTAAAGTTGCTTTCAGAAGAAGTGTATTATTTTTATTACTAAGTTCAGTGTTCAATCTAAGGATTTTTCTAAACAACCAATAATATGGAGATCTATAAGTATTGGATTCTATCATCTACAAGTTGAGGAAAAAATGTGTAGGGGTTTCATTTTCATGACCACAGTTACAGGCTGGTGTGTCAAAGTTTGTAAAATGATGAGCAAATAATCGACTTTTTAAAAATAGGTCCACTTTTAACTTGTTAAATATAATTTCAGTTTTTCTAGTGATACATGTATCAAGTGATGCTATAATACTTATACATTTTTCAGAAATCAACACTTACTTATCCATTGCTATCTGTATGTATCTGTTTGCCAGGTTAGGCCAGTTCTTCAACTGACAGCATTCCATCAAACATGTGTATGCCAAGATTAACTACAATTACAACAAAATACATGGTAATTAATGAACATCACGTTAGCAATAAACTCAACATGCCACAAAAACCTATCCAGATGTTCATACCAAGAAGGGCTTGAAATAAGTCCAGAGGAATATGTTTATATCTATAATTTAATGCACAACCAAATTGGTCCATTTTTAAGATGATTATGCTTTGCAGGTACACAACCTCTGTTAGAGGGGGAATTTTCAAGATGGTTTCCAAATTCAAAATGGCCATCAATATACCTCGTGTAGGTCACTGTCAGCCTCTTCTGACTTGTTCACTTGTTGTAAGGCAGTCAAAAGAGCTTTAGGAGCATCATCCTGGGTGTAGTAATACTGGAACAGATGGGACAGACATCTAGTTTGCTCCACTAGACGAACCTTCTTCTGCGCTCTATAAAATGGAAAACATTGGTTAACATTGTATTTGTTATTGATTTTATTTGAAATATTGACTTTGTATGTACAATGAAGGTCAAGCCTTGCCATCAGATCTCAAAACAGTGTAGACTGAATAATACTGAATGCAAATTATATGTGTGCTAAGAATAGCTTCAAATGGTTTGTGGTGTACTCAGAATCTCTGATGGTACTTTAAATCTTTCATGCAGAGACAAAAAACAAAGAATTTACTTCTTACGGACAGTAAACACCAAAAAACATAATTCCTAGACCTTTGACCAAGACCTAGCAACTAATGACCCTTATTTGATAGTTCTACACAGCATCTGATATACTGACAAAATGTGCCTTTTTACATCAAATTAGAACTTGGAAAAATGACTTAAGATTCGGCATAACACTCTCATGTATTGAAATTAGGGTATTTAAGGAAGTAAGGAAGAAAGCAGATACTCACGGAGCAGAGCCAATGAATCTTTCGGGATTTTTCAGATGTAACACTTGCGTCATTCCCTGACGTATTATCTCAAAATTGACTCCTATATTTGTCTCAGGCTGCCTACTCCCCAATATCTTCAGTGCCGACTTGAAATGTGGTAGCGCCTCATCCATCTGCCCAAGTTGGAACTTGGACTGCAAGTAGCAAAGTAATTTAAATGTAGAATCCAAAATCAATGAACAGAAACTGTGACTTATTTTCAATGAAGGAAAATCTTAGATAATGCATCATTGATCGCTATCACTAACCACCCAAAATCATGATATATATATTTTCTCATTCAACAATCTGATTTGATCTTTATAAGCATTTACTTTGTTAGTCCGAGAGACAACTCTATTAAAAATCTGAATGACAAGCAAAAATGGATCACACATTGAATTAAATGCAAGGACATTTCAGATGGCACCACTTCAGTGACCTACCTGTCCAGTAAGACTCTCTATCAGAGCTATCTCCTCAGGATCAACATAGAAATCACTAAGTTCTTCAATGTTTGCAATATCATTAGGGAAGGGGTTCTTATTCTGTGTTACTCTTTCAGCAATCTCTGCAGCTTCTTCCAAGAAGGACAGGGTCTGAAATTGAAATAATTTGTCAAAGTTAGAGCCATTTTTATGAGAAATTCTGTGACTGATGTATTGTATCCATCACTCTGGGTATTCAAGGGTTAAGGAGGGATAAAGCTCATCTTTGTTAAAGTAAAACAAGGCATTATCATGCAAAATGTCACAAGCTGCCAATTGTTGCAGACACCGCTAAATGCTGAATGCTGTCCATAAAGAAATTGGAGACTATGACAATATGTCAACACTCTTGGTAGTGTCAAAACGAAATGTGATCGACACAATTTGCATAAGCTAAGTGTGAAACAGGGGATTCATGAAATTAAAATATTCCAATCTGCACTTGGCTTCATATTCCAGATGACTTAAAAACTACAGTAAAGTCTGTTTTAGTGGAACACCTTTGGTACCTCAAAAGTGTTGGAAAGTGTTCGACTTAGAGGTTCATTTAACATTAAGTCAATTGGTCTTGGGACTCTACAAAGTCCACTAACAGAGGTGTTCCATTTCAAGAGACGTTCCACTTAAGAGGTTTAATTGTACAGTCTTGATCAAATCTGGCAAAAGCTGTATGTACCTGCATAGTGTTGTGAGTGGCTGTAGCGGCAGCTGCTGCCTCCAGTAAGAAATGAACAGTCTTTCCCACATTACCCGCTGACCTCCAATGTCTCACCAGCTGTGGATAGACAGATGCAAGAATGTTAACACATTCACAGCTGCGGAAATCAACATCTGGGATAACTGTACTAACAAAAGATTCTGTCTTTGTAGGCTCATCTAATCTGTAATACAAAATTATGATTTATCTGTACATAAAAGTGGTTGTAAAAATAGTTTTATGACACCATGATACATAAACAGTACTATGGATGAATATGAATGTTCTTATGGGCGTATGCACAATACATATGAATGCATTCATGAACAAATGAGTACAATCTTACACGAGGTATTAACATGCAAAATGTCACTCCCTGCCTTTTGTTACAGATGCTGATAGCCGACTGCCAAATACCAACCACCGAGTGAAAATGTCGTACACCATCCACAAAAAGTGGGAGACTATAACCACATGTCAACACTTCTGGTGGTCACATAAAAATAAAAAAATCAGTTTTACCATTAAAGGGGTATTTGAGCAGTCATTTCAATGAAAGTGGGTCAACAGCATAATCTTCAATTAATCATTTTAACAATCACAGATCCATATTTTTAATTAAAACAGGTCTAAAAGCTATCAATTAGAGAATATAGGGTATAGCGCTGCTCCATAACAATAGATTTTCACATTGAAAAAAATATTTGAACAGAACCTCAGTACATTTTGCATGCCTGAATCCTTACGACAAGCACCAATGGTATTCACTCCTTCAATTATCTTATTTATTTCTAATTTATTGTATTTTATCACATTTTTAAATGTAAAGTATTATCTTTAAAATCATTTTTATAATGGTACACACCCTAATGTTATCCTAATAGAGGCACGTCTCTGCTGCGTGTTGGCCAATCGAAGCAGGGCACTAGAATCCACTTGATCCCGAGCTTCCTCTAGCTCCTCTGCCGTCAAACTTTCTACACTCACTGAAATATTCACAGAATGTTTAACTGTCAAGCTATCAAGAGTATGTACACCTGTCAAACTATTCAGACCCAAAGAAATACAGTATGTCAAAGGGCTAATAGCTGCTACAAGAAATACCCATTCTTCAAGCATTTATATTTGTATGTGTGGCCCATTTTTTCTTTTGTGCAGATCCTTATTTTTATTAGCAAAATGTTGATTCAACAAAATTAAGAAACTGAATATCTGTTGTTACACATTTAAGTTTTGAGAATTTATTCACTTAAAGAAGCATCTCAAAATCTGAGGAAATTAGGAGATACATGGGCAGCCCATGGGAGATGTAAAGAAAGAAAGGAACAATAATTCAACGATTTAAGTATTCAGAGACTGAGAAATACCTGGTACGGATGAGAATGTTATTTCTGGTGTCACGGCTGAGGATCTCCTGTCACGCTTGAACTGACGATCAACCTATGCAATTCAAATTAATAAATACATTACAGAAACTTCAGACCACAGGATTGAACTGACGATCAACCTTTAAAATGTCACATTCAAATTACTAAGTACATACATGTACATAGCAGAAACTTAAGACGCCAGGATTGAGGGGACATATATATAACTTGATGGAGCATTCGTGTGACGTATCATCACAATGAACACACAAGGTTACTAGATTTAACATACTTAAACAAGCAACTTTATATTAAATTGTTGAAAAAAAAGTTATCATACTGAATACCTTGATGCTGCCCCTTGTTATAGACTTTGGATGTTTATTCATTTCTTTAACATTGCTCTCACGTCTGTTTCTCTCCGCCACAACATTATTGAGCGACTGCCAGGCAATGAATTCTCCACCCCCACAAGATGGGCACTTATGGGCCTGTGACTCCAGGAATCCCGCAGCCTCGATGTGAAGCATACGTCGCTGTTCCCCCAGAAATGTCTCGTATGCTGTTTCCTGCATCAGACCATTGTGGAATCGCAAGAATTGACAATTTGTGACAGAGTCATTGGGTCCAGGCTGGAGTGAGAATGTATAAAGAACAACATTAGATACTGTCAAGTAAAAATCATTAATGGTGTAAAACGTGTCACAGGGCTCGGTGCTTTAATTGATCAAATACATGTATTTATAGCTCATTTGAGGACAAATCGTTGCTCCAAAGCTTCATGAATGCATCTACAACCCATCACACAGATACTTTTTGTTAATGCTGATTAATAAGTCCTGTAGCATGTATTAGCCCATTGAAGTATAAACAAGGCATTGACAGGTAAAATGTCACCACCTGCCATTTGTTACAGACACCAACTACAAAAACATTGTACACCAACCGCCTAACACCATCCATAAAACGTTGGAGACTATAACAATATGTCAACAAATTTTGGTGGTGACATAACAATCACTCATTGTATTGTATTTTGTTTACCACCAATGAAGGTGAGCAATACCATGGTATGAAGAAGAGTGTGGTACAAGCAATGACCTGTTGACTATATTGAATTTTATTACCAGCCAGATAAAATTCATCTTGCTCATGATTATTACTTGTTTGCAAATCAGGAAACAGAGAGCCAGATAAAGTTCATCTTGCTCATGATTATTACTTGTTTGCAAATCAGGAAACAGAGAGCCAGATAAAGTTCATCTTGCTCATGATTATTACTTGTTTGCAAATCAGGAAACAGAGATATGACAAGTAATTTTATGCATCAATGAGAAATATAAAATGGTATGAAATCTTGACCTTCCAAAAAGGCTTGAATTATACATATGGCCTACAACGGTACAATGTACTTACTTTACCATCAGGACGTGGACAGTAACACTCTGCCTTGCTGGTCAATAAGCTTAAGGCATGGATGTCTTTACCAATACCACCACTATTCTGGTTCCAAATTTTGCTCTCTTTCATCTGTGCCAGAGAATCACTAGCACACTCAAGTATACCAGACTCCATCAATCTTTTTATCGAAGCCCTGGGAAATAATTTAACAGATACAGGTACCTGTATATAAACAAGACACATAGTGAACAATATTGAACTTAAAACCAAAATAGCCACTATGAAATTTACACAATATGCTCAAAACTAATCTGTTCAAGATTTTCATACCATTCTGCCTAGGGATTTATATGGAAATGGGCAGATATGAAAAGTGAGATGCACCACATGCCTGTCTAGCAGACGACAATACTGGAAAAACTTTACCAAGGCATTAACCTGATAAAATTTCACCTCTTAGTTGCAATTTGCAATCAATGTTAAATGACTCTGTTCACAAAATATGTTTTCTATATTTGTTTATCAAATATGATCAATTCTGAGAAGTTTACAGAAGATGTCTTGAGGTGAACACTGAAGATTTAGTTCAAATATTAATTCCAATTTCAGGTCCCTTTCCTAGGTAACATCATTGTACAGATTTTAATTGCACAACATACATCATTCATCCTCCTAAGCAGGTGTCCAGAATCCGTACCTCCTTCTTCCCCCTGCTATAACTTATTTGGAAGCGCCCGATTTAACTGAATCGATTTAAGCCAATCAGATTGCGAGTTCTTAATCGGGGAAATGCTAACTGCTTATCGCAGGGGGTAAAAAAAGAAAGAATATATATTGTGGATTTTGAAGCCCTGTGATCGGAGGATGACATTATTAGAAGTGAAATTAATATATAACGAGCCACATGATGTGAACGAGATCACGCCATCAAAAAACTTTCAAAATGCCTGCCAGAAAAAATGGCTGCCCAGAAGTTAACCTCTTGAATCCCAGGTTCTAAAATTGGGTTGAAACCAGGGAATTTTTCATTTTGCCAGCCTTTGACATTTTACTACATGCATAAACAACAGATGATGCTTAATTTAGTGAAATTAGTTGGTAGAGATCATTTCTACACATTTTAAAACATTTTTGGTGTAAATTGGATGAAAATTGTCAAAATTAGAGTAATTTCAGTGAAAAATGTTATGACGGATTTTCTCGTCAATCAAGAGAAATCTTGTCACTCTGGGTAATCAAGAGGTTAATCAGCTCTAGAGCTTGATATCCTCTATCATGTGTGCGAATTTGGAGAAAATCTGACAAGCGGTTTTCCTGAAATGGCAATGACAAGAATTTCTGGAATTCCTTCAAAATGGGCACCAGAAAACAAGATGGCCACCCAAAAGGTAATCAACTCTAGAACTTGATATCCTCTATCTTGTGTGCGAATTTGGAGAAAATCCGACAAATGGTTTTCCTAAAATGGCGATGACAAAAAAGCGGGCCGATCACGATAACGATTACTACGACTATGACGACTATATCCCACCGATGGTGTGCTAAAAAGTTTTCTTACTTGATTTTTTCTGGGATCTGGTTCGGCATGATCACTTCTACCATTTTCCTTGAAAATTTGGCACCAATGATTGAAGCACATTTGATTAACATCTGATCTGATGGTTCCATTCGGTCCATACGAGCCATCATCATTCCTGCAAATGACCCAAATACAAATATGGCACATCATTTTTAATGCAGCATTTTAAAAGACATAATGATATATAACATGCATTCGTACTCTACAACTAGAAATCAGCAACTCCAAGCATGGAGTAGCACATTCCAACAAACACTATATTCATGAATCTGTATATGTCACAATGTAATATTTACCATCTACTCTAAACGTGATTAAATTGGCAGATATTGAAAGACAAATATTTTAGAAATATCAGAATTTCCACTGATTTAAGCACAAATTAGAATTGATTATTTCAACAAAGATACTCATAATCAATACCTTTCATTGACTGTGACAGGGCAACATTCCTGAGGTTAACATCTGGTTGAAGTACACAGACTAAGTTGGCTGTTTTAGATGCACCCTCTAAATTGCCACCTTCCATTATGGTGTGGTCCTCTTCTTCTGAGCTTTGCCCCTGTACAGTAAGTATTCAAAAGTGCAATCTAATATTTTTCCTAAAAGCTGAAATATTTTACTTTGATATTCATACTGATATTCATACTGCGCTAGGCAGCGACTACTGTAACTACTTTATACTTTTTAAATTGAATAAATATATAACGAAATGAAAAATGATTTAAGTTTTCAAATGAAAGTTTCAAAGTTCAATTAATGGAGTCTCAGTCTATGCATGAACCATATTACATGTACATATGTACAGATTTTAAAGGGTCTTTCTTGCCCATGTTCCCATTAAATCATAAGCAATTGCTCCGATATGACATCCTCGACAATGACAGAAGTATGTAAACTGAACCAGACATCTATTGAAGTATGAATATTATATGAACATGGTGTTACTGAACACACTGTATAAGAGGTAATTTTGCCCAATCATTTAATTTACCTACATGTATAGCCTAATTTCTGCCAGGTTCGGAAAATTAAATTTCGGAACCATTATCTTCATAATGCTATCTAATGGGAAGTTCCTTGTCATCAGGATAATTAAAATCAGGAAAATGATAAAATTTGACCATTCGGCAAATTAACCACTCGGATAGAATATACTGAATTCTGATTTATCACTGATAACCAAATACTGTATTTACATGTATGGGAGGTACTGTACATGTACATGATCACATACCAAACTGGATATTTTTGATTTCTGCGTAAAGCGTTCCTTTTTCTTGAGAAAGTTTGGTGGTGGTCCAACAAGGCGGAAATCTTTAGTATCAGGGTGGCCTTCAGGCACCAAGGTGATTTTTGCATCATGGAACAACTCATGTAAGATCTGTTCACACCAAGCAGGCACTCCATGAGTCTTCATCTTTAGAAAGCTACAAAACAAAGACATATCGATCAGTGAACAATATTGCACTTTTAGGACAAACATATGTACGTACTTGAACAATGATCAAAATAGAATAAAATTTTCGGTCATACATGTACATGTATATTATGTCATAAATCATAAAAGCTATAAGTTTGCCACAATTTTATTTCTTTATGAAGTTACTAAAAGATTTGGTCACATAAGATTTAACTTGTCTTCCCACAGGATATAGTAGTTACCAAGCTCCGTCCCGACATGCTGCTGATATCTCAGCTCAGCAGGAGCATCATCATCATCGAGCTCACAGTACCCTGGGAAGACCGACTGGAAATATCCCATCAGCTTAAGAAAGCCAAATACCAAGATCTGGTAGACGAGGCCATAACAAGGGGGTGGCATGCAGTGCAGTACCCAATAGAAGTGGGATGTAGGGGGTTCCCAGCCTCCTCGCTGCGCTACCTTCTATCTCAGCTAGGACTAACACCATCCAAGCTGAAGTCGGCAGTTAAGGCAGTAGGTGCTGTGGCAGAGTCCAGCTCACGGTGGCTCTGGCTCAAGAGGAATGACAAGTGGTGTCCTTCAGCGAGCGATGTTTAAGACCTTACCATCGCTGCCCCACTCAGATTATGCATACAGGCTAAGGGGCGAAATGTGACGATCTGAGACGCCTGCTGATGACGCAGTAAAGGACACTCACTTAATTTTCCTACGAAGCCATCCACAAGTAGTAGTTCCTTTTTCCGTTTGTAGCGATGCATCGTTGATGTTTATTTGAAATGTATCCTGATAATTCAGTGACCATGGGGAAAGGCCCATTGACTTCTGCGAAAGAGCAGATGACAGTTTCGGAAAGACGACAACACAGATGCCAGGGTCAGCACCCCGAAGCATCTAACTCACAATAGCTACAAGTATTAAAATGAGAGAATGCCCCCAAGCAGACCGAAAGGCGGGGGAGGATGATCTGCACCCGACAGGAAGTATGGATTTTGACCAAAGCAGCGAATTACGGACTACAATTAGGACTCAGGAAGACATTGACGTAATAGAAACAAGAAGACGGTGCGGAAGTTGCGGCGGCACTTTCAAGAACGAGAGAGGGGTGAAAATACACCAAGGGAAAACCAAATGTAAGGAAAAGCTAAAACAACGTCAAGCAGGTCATTCAGCTGAAGCGCGAGCCAAGGCTGTAGATCCTGCTAATAATTCGGTGAAGGTTTGTAGCCAGGAGACACACCACAGTGCTCCAGACCTTCTAGTTGAAGCTAATCCTCTCATTCAGAGTCTACCCAGCCCAATTGAACACCTCGTTCAAGGGAGGAAGCCTAGACTAAAGTTACCTGCAGCAACCGACAAGCGATGGATAGAACTCGACGAGGAGCTTGACATTATCCTCACAAACACATTACGAGGAGACGCAAAGGGAAAGGTAGAGACTATGACTAGAATCGTTTACGAAACTTGTGAAGAGAAGTTTGGAGTCAGTGAAACATCAGAACGAAAGCACCATGCAGGGCCAAGTAGAAGACAGCAGGAGATAGCTTCCCTTCGGAAAGAGCGGCGCAGCCTTCAGCGTCGATGGAAAGCTTCATCACTGGCCAGCGAAAGAGATGGAATTAGAGAACTCCAGCAGATTCTTCACAAGAGACTTCTTCATCTTCGTAAGGTAGAGTCTCTCAGGAAAAGACAACGAGAGAAGCATAGAACAAGGAAGGCCTTCTTTGAAAACCCATACCAGTTCACTTCAGATTTACTAGGGAAGCCAAAGAGTGGCCGTCTTTCCAGCACACAGCAGGAAGTGGAAGCAAGTATTGCAGCAGCACACAGTGACCCAGACAGAGAACTGCCATTAGGCGAGTTCCCGATTGACATCCCACCAGATATACCAACTGCACCATTTGACCAGTCAGATTTCAAGCTTGACGAGGTACGAGCTATTGTCAAAAAGGCAAGAGCAGCTTCAGCACCGGGCCCAACAGGTGTGACATATAGGGTGTACAAGAACTGCCCGAAACTGCTCAAACGTCTATGGCGATTGCTAAGAAGCATCTGGATTAAGAAAGACCTGCCAAGGAGTTGGGCGTTGGCTGAAGGTTGCTTTGTTCCTAAAGAGTTGAAGTCTGAAGGGCTGAACCAGTTCAGGGAGATTTCATTACTGGACGTGGAAGGGAAGATCTTGTGGGCTATTGTGGCCAAGCGACTTACCTCTTTTCTACTGGTCAACCAGTTTATCGACCCAAGCATCCAGAAAGGTGGCATCTCAGGACACTCAGGCTGCCTCGAACACACGGCTGCTATAAGTCAACTAGTGAAGGAAGCCAAGAAGGGGAACAAGGCCCTGTCAGTAGTTTGGTTGGACCTCGCTAAGGCCTACCCAAGTGTCCCTCACCAACTGATATTGGAGGCTTTAGCTCACTACCATGTACCAAATGATGTAATCAACCTGACAATGGGCCACATGAACTCTTTGATGATGCGCTTCACTGTTGGCAAGTTCACCACCAACTGGCAAAGGCTGGAAAAAGGCATAATGGCCGGATGCACTGTATCAGTAGTCCTCTTCATTACAGCAATGAACCTACTGCTCAAGGCAGGTACAATGCAGTGTAAGGGTCCAAAAGCAAATGATGGCACAAAACACCCACCATGCAGAGCTTTCATGGATGACATCACAGTTATGACAGTCTCAGCAGTAGGTGCCAGATGGATTTTGTCAGCACTAGAAAGAATGGCAAACTGGGCCCGAATGCAGTTTAAACCCACCAAATCAAGAAGCATGGTACTGGTAGATGGGAAGCTTTCTCCCATACAGTTTAAAATCCAGGGGGAGCTAATACCTACAGTACAAGACCAAAGAATCAGATGCCTCGGGAAGAACTATGACAGGACCTTACGAGATGTGAACAATACAGCTGAAGTGGCAAGGGATTTAGACAAGTGGCTAAGAGCCATTGATTCAAGTCACCTGCTAGGGCGTTTCAAGGTGTGGTGCTTTCAGTATGGCATTATTCCTCGGCTGCAATGGCCTTTCCAGATGTATGATATACCGTTATCATCTGTCCAGGCCATGGAGAAAACATGCAGCAAGCACCTTTGGAAATGGCTAGGCTTGCCCCCTTCCTTCAGCTCTGTCAATTTGTACAGCTCTACTTCCAAACTCTCCTTACCAGTGACATCAGTTGTGGAGGAGTTCAAGGCCACCAAAGTTAGAACAGTCACGACTCTAGAACAATCAAAAGATCCCAAAGCCCGGAAGACTGGTGAAAGCATTACTTGCGGAAGAGTGTGGAAACCACAGGATGCTGCAGCAGAAGCCAGCGACCGACTAAGTCACCAACAGATTGTTGGAACTGTTTGCAAGGGAAGACTTGGGCTAGGGCACTATGGTCCACATCAGCTGACCAGCAATAGTAGGAGAACCCAGATTACGAAACAGATACGAAACAAGGCAGAGGAAGACAGACTGGTAAAGGCTGTAAGTCTTGCTAAGCAAGGAAGTTGGACCAACTGGGAACCTGCTCTGAAGCGTCCCCTGAAATGGAAAGACATCTGGCCCATGGACCAAGGAAGACTCAGCTTCTTATTAAGAGCCTTCTCTGACCTGCTACCATCTCCATCAAACCTCCGATGTTGGGGCAAGGAAGAGACAGCTAACTGCCCTCAGTGTATGGCTGCTGATTGTACACTTAACCATATTCTCAGCAGCTGCCCTAAAGCCCTAGGTGACGGAAGATATAGATGGCGACACGACAGGGTCCTCCAAGAGGTAGCCAAGTGGATAGACCAGCAAAGACTTTCCCACAACACCAGTAGGGGCAATGTAAGACCAAGACTCATTAAGTTTGTCAAAGAAGGCAGCAAAGCCCATCAGAAGCCATCTCTGCCTGTACTCCAGCCCAACACTCTCACCAAGGCAACAGACTGGACTTTAAGAACTGACCTCTTCCAAAAACTTGTCTTCCCACAGGATATAGTAGTTACCAAGCTCCGTCCCGACATGCTGCTGATATCTCAGCTCAGCAGGAGCATCATCATCATCGAGCTCACAGTACCCTGGGAAGACCGACTGGAAATATCCCATCAGCTTAAGAAAGCCAAATACCAAGATCTGGTAGACGAGGCCATAACAAGGGGGTGGCATGCAGTGCAGTACCCAATAGAAGTGGGATGTAGGGGGTTCCCAGCCTCCTCGCTGCGCTACCTTCTATCTCAGCTAGGACTAACACCATCCAAGCTGAAGTCGGCAGTTAAGGCAGTAGGTGCTGTGGCAGAGTCCAGCTCACGGTGGCTCTGGCTCAAGAGGAATGACAAGTGGTGTCCTTCAGCGAGCGATGTTTAAGACCTTACCATCGCTGCCCCACTCAGATTATGCATACAGGCTAAGGGGCGAAATGTGACGATCTGAGACGCCTGCTGATGACGCAGTAAAGGACACTCACTTAATTTTCCTACGAAGCCATCCACAAGTAGTAGTTCCTTTTTCCGTTTGTAGCGATGCATCGTTGATGTTTATTTGAAAAAAAAAAAATGGGGTGTCTTTTCATGTCAATGTAAAAGACTGTATCTGAAACATTTGAAATAAAGTGAATTGAATTGAATTTAATGGAGTTCCATACTCATCTAGTTTTTGAGGTATCTTGGCAACCTCTAGTAGTTGGCAGGCTATGGCAGTAATGTGCTCCTCATCAAGCGGTTTTAGACGAATCGTCAGTGAGGTCTCACTGTGGAGAACCTCCCAGAATGCAACTGGCTGTTGTGACTTTTTCGTCTCTGTGAATGGTCTCATACCTATGTAATAATACAAAATACAAGTACCGTACATATAGTTTTTTATTATTTGAAACAAAAATTATGCCATTGCTCATGTTATGTCTCAATCAAAATAAGTTTCATTGAAATTGTCTGTTGAGAATATGTGACCTCGAGACAAACTTCTCCATGTACCCAACGAGGATATATAAAGAAAGATAATGCCCCGATTTCCAAGATTAGCCAATGTAGTTATTTAAAATATATAGGTTTGGGTACTTCAATGCATCCTGATTTTAACAAGCATACAAACACCCCTATATCTTGGAATATTTTTCTAGATTTCATAAAAGGACACACTAAATAAACATTTAACTTTATATCGTAAAATGGTTAATCTTACTGAGGACCACAAGAGTCTTATCATCCCTCCCCATGTCTGACATAAACGTCCAAGACTCGGGATCAACAAACTGGGCATCATCAATCACGAATATTATGAAGCCAGTCTTGGTGGTGATCTACAAACAGTTCTATGCATTTGACATGTGGCCAGTATATGATAAGGGTAAGGTAGTTGGAGGTTTTGGATACAGGGTTTATCCCAAGGGAAATATCTAATAAACGAGAAGTATTTATTATCCCATGGGATAAACCCTTTATCCAAAACTGCAGACTGCAGAGTGGTTTTCTTTCAAATTAACCCCTACTTTTTAGCATTTAAAATTATCTAATCCAAAAAAAAATCACATTAGAATATTTCTCTCCATAAGCTCAACTGGAGTTTTGTACAAGAATACTACTTTGAATAAGTATGGTTCACTTCTATCTTTCATTCAACAACTGATGGCTATAGCTAACATGATTAGAGTCATGATAACAATTTATGTTTTTTCTTACATTTTCCTAAAAGGCCTTTAATAAAGATTCCCTACCTGGTGCATGATGTGAACAAGGAGCTTCCGCAGTCCACTCGCTCTCTCCTCTTTACTCATGTTCCGAACACTAGCATCACAAGAGAACTGGAAATAAAACATTATATATCATTATCAGGCCCGTAGCCAGGATTTGCCAAGGGGGGGGGGGGGGGTTCAGTTTTCAAAAATTTCCAGGGGGGGGTTCACATTTGACAATTTTGGCCCAAATATGGCTAAAATCACTTGAGAAGTGCTCAAAGTGAAAAACTGCATGATTTTGAAAGAATTTTTGGCCAGGGGGGGGGGGGGGGTCACCCAAACCCTACGAACCCCCCTGGCTACGGGCCTGATTATCACTATATGTAACTGGAACTGATACATGTTATACTGCAAATAGCAAGAGTTATATGCCTTTAAATCATGCATACCTTGAAAAATCTGGAATGAGCAAATCAAAATTAGTCTAAAATGTTCATTCTCGTTATGCTCGCATATGCAGATCATATCAATTAATGGATAAAAATCATATCACTCATAAATCATGGGATATCCTCAATATTTTGAAGAGAAATTATAAGATATTCTCTGTATATATTAAAGTGATCAACACAACCAAACATACAACTTATCAAATATTTGAAAATTATAAAATAAATAACTTGCTGTTCAAAAGTCACATTTTCAAAAAATGTCTCAAATAATTTTTAGTAATGGAAGTACAAATGTAGGTAATGGAAAGTAAGATTTAAGTGATTAAACTATATTTTCAAACTGTACATGGGGCCTTTAAGGTTATTTAATTTCCATATTTTAAATCAACAGACAGTTTATACTCAAATAAACCTAATGGAAAACATTCCTGACTTGTAATCAATTATTACCTGAACAACTAGGAGGTCATTAAGAAGGCAGAGATTCTGCATGATGTACATATCTTTCTGGAAATACTTCCTAAGGCCGTCCTCTCTCTCCTGGTGTGACATGGTCAGGCTGAACTCAAGCACTGACATCAACAGACTACGTACAACAAAGTATGGGGTCTTCGCTTCATTCATAGACAACGATGAAGAAAGTACCCTAAAAAACCAACAGACTACTGTACATACAACAAAGTTTGGCATCGCTTCATGCATCGATAATAATGATGAAAGCACCCTGAAATTTGAAATGTTCAACCTTAGTATAGCATCCTGTCACGTCTTTTCCAAATTACTATGAAATTATATTTCAAAATAACGTATAATGCAAGAACAAGGTTCCAATTTAATATCAATCTCTTATGTAGTGGATATTAAGCACAAGAATACAAACTCGTTAATACATAAAAAGTTGAGTTAGGAAAACAAATTCAGTTAAACAAATGAAGGTTATTATTCATCTTACTTGATGTGACTCTCCTCTGCTTTACACACAACCGCATCAAGAATACGACTTTTCCCGATTCCTGCTTCTCCCTCAAATATGATCACCTGACGTTGTGTGGCAGTCCCACCTTTATGTTCCATGATAGACTTAATCTCGTACATAAGAATACGGATCTCATTTTCTCGTCCAACTATGGGAAAATCAAACTCTTGTATTCCAGGGGCCCTTGTATACAATGAATTGCTGAAATGGGAATCCATCATTTAAATGTTGCTTCAAAAACAGATGATGACCTTTTATTTTAAATTAGTTAATAATATAAGATGAAAAAGCTAATTTCAACAAAATGAGACAAAAGTAGGAAACCGAACTTATGGTGTAAACTTCTAGCATAAACTATCTCTCACTGTTAAATATGAGCATGTATTATCAACAAAATAATAGCAAGGCATTAACATGCAAAATGTCATCACCTGCCATTTGTTACAGATGCCAACCTCCATCCAGAAAAAAGACTTGTACAATATACCGACTTATGGTGATGACATAAAAATAGTATGTCCTACCCCACAGCCTCCTCTGTATACTCTCGTATGGTTCCAATATTGATCAATCCCTTCATTTTCTTCAACTCCAGATTCTTGAAATTTGCCCTAGATAGTTTAGAGTGGTGATACGTATCATTATCGCACGTTACTTTCCCCGGATAGTGCATCATCAATCTGGCAGCCATATTGACTTTCTTCCCAATGACGGTGTATTCATGACGATAGGGGTGTCCCACTACACCACAGAATGTCATACCAGTGGTGACACCTATTGATGTCTGTCTGAAAAGATCAATTAATTTTGTCATTTGGTTTTATATCATATTGATTGGGTCATAAAAAATACTTTATTTGGGAAAATGTTTGAATTATCAATTGTATAGCATCTCTAAAAGAAAAATTGTCTGAACTTTTTCAATGAGAAAAATCATTAGATCCATCAAGATGGAAAAATTTTGATGCGAACCCCCCAGGTTTCAGAGAATTGAAAAAACTTGTATAGTGGAACACCCATCTTAGTGGGACACCACAGATTTCCAAGACCAACTGACTAACATTAAATGAATAATTGTAAATTAATAGCTCCTAAGTGGAAGAATTTCAAAAGGTGTTCCATCTACACAGGTTTTACTACAGGTTTAAACACTGGTCAAAATCATTCATCAATGAACATACTCATCAATATTTTGAACTATTTTCACGAGAAGATTAAAACTTACTGTACATTCTTGATCATGTCAAGTTTTTTCTTCATCCTGTAAGAACACTGGAGGGCATGCGCACAATCATTCTCATGTTTGTAGCCTGGCAGTCCAAATATGACAAGGAAGGTACAGCCTTTGTCAAACATGAACACTTTGTTGAGACAGCCTGGAGTTAATTGCAAGAACAACTAGGCATCAGCGTAGAAATTTTGAGCCAATTCCATCAACTGATATATGAGTATTATCAAAGATTATGTTTTTTTACGAAAAAATGGCAGCCATTTTGAAATTCAGGTGCCATCTTCGAAATTTTTTCTTGAGCAGTGCTCATTTGTCCTATGGCATCAAGCCATCTTGAAAATTCCATCTTGACTATATCTCCTGCGTCCCTGGGTATCAGCATATCATGTGAACGCAAATCTGTCTACCGGTACACAGAATTATCATAGATTACATTTTTTTATGAAAAATGGCCGCCATTTTGAAATTGAAAATGTCTTCTTCAGCTAAGCTCCTTTGCCTTTAGGCATCAGCATATAAAATTTGAACAAAATCCGTCAACTAGTATTTCAGTTTTCAAAGATTAATTTTTTTACGAAAAACGGTGGCCATTTTGAATTGAGTGGCTATATTGAAAATTCCTTCTCGAGCAGAGGTCCTACACCCATAAGCCTATAAAATTTGGACTAAATCTGTCGATCGGTTTTTGAGTTACCGCCTGACAGACTGACAAACAGACGGACGAATGGAAGGATGCATGGATGGAACGGACGGCTTTCCTATATCCCTCTCCAACTGCGTTCAGTGTGATAACCATATTAATTTTTTTAGCAGAGTAGAAGATTTCAACTGCCGATGAGAAAAAATAAAACTCACTAGGACCAGATTTTGAAATGTAGATCAAGATCACCAACAGATAATAAAATCATATAGGTCAATGTCACATCTGGACAGGTGAGGCTAACTGGACAGGTGAAAATAGTTGTAAATTCTCTGAGTATAAAAGCTCATGGGACAAAAATGAGTACTCACCTAGCATAGATCGCACTTCAGGATAGATGATATCAAATGCTGATTGTAATAGTTTTGAGGCCATTCTGTATGGAACAGGAGCCAGTACCATGTTCATAAAGACAATGGACACCTGTCTGTTCTCTGAGAGGTACTCCAAAGGCTGGTCATCGTCCAACTAAATGAAACAAAACAAGAACACAAATGTGTGCAATATGTTCATAAAGACAATGGACACCTGTCTGTTCTCTGAGAGGTACTCCAAAGGCTGGTCATCATCCAACTATATGAAACAAAATAAAAGAATTCATGAAAAGACCTTTCCAATTATTAATATATGATGACACCTATCTCTATAATAGTTTTGAGGCCATTCTGTATGGAACAGGAGCCACTACCATGTTCATAAAGACAATGGACACCTGTCTGTTCTCTGAGAGGTACTCCAAAGGCTGATCATCATCTAACTATATGAAACAAAATAAAAGAATTCATGAAATTACCTTTCCAATAATTATCATATGATTATATATAGTAAAACCTGTCTTAGTGAACACCTCTCTTTAGTGAACACCTGTCTCTAGTAGACCCTTCTTCCATACATACTCTACTGCCTTCATTCTGTGTAAATTACTCTCTCTATAGAAACACCTAGTAACACTGGATTTTTTTCTGGGAAAAAAAATGTTCAATAAACGTTTTTTTACGAAAATTGGCCGCCATCTTGAAAATTATTTCTTGAACAGAGCTACTGTGTCCCTAGGCATATTCATATAAATTTCAACCGAATCTGTTCACTGGTATTTGAGTTATCAAAGATTACGTTTTTTACGAAAAATTGCGGCCATTTTGAAATTAAGCGGCCATCTTGATCATATAAAATTTGAACCAAATCCGTTCACTGGTATTTGAGTTATCAAAGATTACATATTTTTACGAAAAATGGCCGCCATTTTGAAATTAAGTGGCCATCTTGAAAATCTCTTTTTGTGCGAAACTCCTTTGTCCCTAGGCATCAGCATATAAAATTTGGACCAAATCCGTCGACTTGTATTTGAGTTATCAACGATTACATTTTTTACGAAAAATGGCGGCCATTTGAATTGAGCGGCCATATTGAAAATTCCTTCTCGAGCAGAGGTCCTACACTCATAAGGCATAAGCCTATAAAATTTGAACCAAATCCGTCAACCGGTATTGGAGTTAACGCCTGGACGGATGGATGGACGGACGGACGGCTTCTCTATATCCCCCTCTAACTTCGTTCGGTGGGATAATAACCAGCATTTTAGAAAGAGGGATCCAGCACCAATGGATTACAAGATACAAGAGGGGGTAAGCATTCTGTTTTATTAAAGAAGTAATACAGAAAGAGATTTCATGATAAGAGAGAGAGGGCAGGAATTGTGTATTTGAGCTATTTGACAGAAAACAGAACTGATGATTAAGGGAGTAATAAGACAAAAAGATGTTAAGGACCAAAATGAAAACAAACAGATTCTAAGATAATTGACAAATTGTGTTTTGTTTATGTTATTTATAAGTACCCATCTTTAAAGCAAGGAATAAACTAATAGGGGATTCCATAAGAAGGAATTTTATGGGAAAAAAGATGAATGTATCCAATGAGAATATAATACACACTCTGACTTAACACTTTACATCTTCTCACAGCTTGTTTCCATAGGAACACCACTGGAAAGATTCTCTGGTATCGAATTGAAGTACAGTAAAACTTGTTTAAGTGGAACACCATGTCTAAGTGGAACACCTTTGGTACCTCTGGAAATGTTCCACTTGGGAGGTGTTCCACTTAAAGTGGTTCATTTAACATTATGTCAGTTGGTATTGAAACTCAGAAAAGTGTACTATGCTACTTCTAGAGGTGTTCCACTTTACATGTTTCACTGTATTTTATTCCCTTGCAAATGTTCAATTTATTCATTCCCTAGCAACAAGGTGTAAACAATCCTGTGGAAACATCAGTAACATACCTCCTACAAAGTTGAGATTCATACCATGAAATTAATCTCTAAAGCATTTTCATATTTTGAAAGCAACACCAAGTTTGATAACTTCGGCATATCAAATGTTAAAGCACCTGATTGCAAACATGCAGAGGAAACCCTGCTACTATTTTAGATATATCTTTAAAATGATTGAAAATACCCTGGGAACATCTGCTAGTACACTTTATCCTCTGAGAAATTACATCATTTAAAGTTTGAGATTCAACCAATCAGAGAGCTACAACTGGTTGATTGACTCAACAAGTTTAGATGTATGTTAGTAAGCGTATCATGTGATGAAATACGAATATGAAGTATATAATACTTATCCCATTGATTTTTCAGTACTAAATGAGTATTTGTATAGTACTAAATTAGCACTCTGGCAATTTCACGTTCATTAGCTCAAAGCATTTTGAAAATGAGCACCAATAGGTCAAATCTCTTGAAGATGATTTTAAATGCCAAGTTAGACCAACACAATGCCAACACAGACCTTTCTAACTGAATTAACAAATACCTAAATTGGTCTACCTAACATTTTAAATGCTGCCTCATCAGAATAAAGTAGGATATCTGTCTTACTTTAATAATGAAAATGGTTAGCAAAATAGTCACTTTTCCTCATTGTCTAAATGATTCTCTAACTTCTATGAATCCCCTTAGAAAAATATCATTCTTGCCAAGTTTAAACTAAGAATTAACATGCAAAATGTCACCACCTGCCAATTGTTACAGATGTCGACCACCATACACCTACTGCTGTCCCCGAAAAAGTTGGAAAATTAATAACAATGTCATCACTTCTTGTGAATTAAGAGATAGGAAACAGTAGTATACATGTAAATAGTATATGAAAATATGTGGTATATGTATGTAAAGCCTCGAGTTGAAATCAAAGAAAGGGAGCTTTAATTATATTACATCTTCTGCATGCTTCATATCATGGATAAGTAGGGTTGACATCTACTACATCTAAAAAATAAACAAGGTTGTGGGGCCCCTTAACAGCTACAGAGAAGATCATTATACCAAGGAACTGATCCACTTGGTGGTTTAGGTAAAAGTACATTGTATGGACAGCTTTTTACTAACTTTGGATGGATTCTTACTCTATTTAGAAATTAGAATTACTTATAATGATGAGTAAGATTTGAGATGAACTGTATTTTAAAGCTCATTTAATTCTGAACGCATCACTATCTTTTAATCTCAACAACTGAATATTCTACCAGCAATGGAATGTTTCCAGTCAAATAATATAGATGGGATTCTTGTGATTGTTGTACCATTGTAAAGAGATACAAAACTGAAGGAATACACTAGTTTAACACTGTAATTACAATTAACAGTCGGATTAATTCAAGTTAACTCCCATCATAACTAATTGCAATGCTGTGGTATCAAGATCACGCCCTGTGAGCAAGAAGATAAAAGCTTGCTATCCTGATATACAGGTATAATGAATCATCCTATCTAGCCAGAAACCATGACATTAATGGAGTAGAGTATTGTGAATCCCATATTCAGCAGAGTAAAACAACACATATAGTACTCCCATTTACATATAGAAATATTTATTTATTTATTTAGCCTCCAATACTGAAGAATAGTTTGACAATTAAAACAATCTTACACTATACCTTATGCTAATTAGACAATTACAATATCATGAATTATACATGTATACATGGGCAAAATTTAGACCCAAAATATCAATGGATACATTGGTAAATCAGCTAAAAAATCTTCTGTGGTACATAATTGATACACTCTTACATGAAATAATCAAAACATGATCCCAATTTTTCATTGGAAACTCCATGCCTAAAATAATGTTATATAATACCTCACATGAAAGTATCTTAAATGTAGGATTTTCCTTAATCAAATTTTCAATCATAATCTTTCTGATATCAACATAATTATCACAACCCATAATAAAATGATAAAGATCCTCTAATGAGTTATTATTGCATTTCTTACATTCCCTATTTTCTCTAGGTAAACCATGGTTGTTAATTTCTAAATTATGTATACCACATAGCAACTTAATCATCATATTACATTTTTGCTTAAGTTCAGGATGTTTAAGTCCTAAGTAATACCAGATAGAAGGAATGTCAACATGCAACTGTACAGTTCTAAAATCTTGAAGTTGAATACTCATTGATAAAGATTGTCTCCAACTATTAAATTCAAAATCCCTAACATTGTTCTTACATATTTTTTTCCAAAGAAACTTTGACATATTTATACAACCATTGTACATGAAGCTCACAACATTGTCCAACAATTTATATTTATTTAAAATAGTAATATACTCTTTAGTAATACCACCTGCTTGATGATTCACTAAACATTCAAACACTCTAAATATAAAAATGTTTCTATAAATATTACTGGCACCCAAGGACAATATGTTGAAACAGAACATTAGCTTACATAGCTCAATATTATATGATATTCCTCTCCACCCCAATAATGCCAAGCATGCATCATTTGGTGTATTCTGAGGTAAATTCTGAATAGATTTACACATGTGTTTATGAGTTTTTTCATAAAGTTCAACCTCCTGCTTATTAAAAGATCTAACTTCTGCTCCATATAGCATTTTAGGTATCATTACAGATTGGTAAACCTTAGAAAGTATTAGGGGGTTTAAACCATCATTCCTCATTCTGGCTCCTACACATGCATAAAAATTACATCTTGCATCACTTATTGTAGCATTAACATTCCTCAACTTATCAGAATTATTATTTGCATAAACATTAACACCAAGATGCTTATATGAATTCTCCTCATTAATTACAAGGTTTTCAATTGTAATGTTGGTACCTTCAGAGTGTTGTCTTTTCTTTTTCTGACTTTTTGTCTCTCCAAAAACCATAATTGCGCTCTTGGAAGCATTAAATTGAAATCGCCACTTATTGGCATAATTATTAGCAAGTTTTAATTGATCAATTAATTTACTCTTGTGTATAGCTAGAATTGCTAGATCATCAGCATAACACACACAACTCACATTTAATGATCCAACTTTACATGAGTTATTATTTGCAAGCAAGTTAATAAGTGGATTTATAAATAAAAGGTACAAATACATGGAGATCTTTCCACCTTGTTTTAAACCCTGTCTATTAACAAACCATTCAGAATTTGCACC